TAGTCGGTGGAACTCAGAAGGACCCTCCGGCATGTCAGAGCCCAGCTGAGTGCACCTCAGCTTCACACATGAAGCTCTCTCGAGCCCGGTGGTAATCATCGTGGGCTGCTGCAGTCACAGGTTGGGGGTCGAGGGCTTCTTGCAGTTCGGGTTTATCGGGTTTGGGTTTAGACTGAAATGGTTTCGGGTTTCGAGTTTGGGGCACCGGTACCGGCCGAAAATCCTGTACATAAGCGGAACAGTTTCACATGCTGACATCAGAATTTATGGACCAAGTCTTAAACCGCTCACCACTCTCAGAACGCTTATCACAATACATGGTAAAAGGGTATATTGTCGCTGATCTCTGCTGGACTTCTGCAAAACCGCACAGGATGTGCAGCCCTGGCATGCCAGGGCCCTCGCAAACCCTAGTCTCAGCCCAATACACCCCAAAAAACCCGAAGCCCTGTACCCTAAAGTAAAAGCCAGAAAGTTGGAATATCATTATCCTAACCCCTTTAAGGTAAATTATAGGGGATCCTACCATTAATCCATATTCCAACTTTCTGGAGTTCCCTTTAAGCCCTTTTGCTACTGGGCTTGAGGACTAGCCAGATCCGCTCGACCTCTGTCATCACGACCGAGGCCCATTCATTTTTAGTGAGCCCGCGGTGCCCTTTTTCAGCACGGACTGAGGTGCCGGCCCTAAGCCGTGAACCCAAAACCCCAAAAAACAAAACCTTCAACCTTGACCCCCAAATCCTACACCCCAAAACTCAACCCTTCGAAACTAAGTAGAGTAAGGGACCCCCCCAAATCCTAAAAACAAACTCAAACCCTTGTAGAAACTACCCTAAACCCTAAACCACAAAACCCTTAGAGAAACTACCCTATAGACCCGAAACCCCAAAATTTTCCAAATCCTAAACTCAAAACCCCGCTTCGATTTTAGCGCGCCCCGACGTGGCACAAGCAAGTCCGGGAAAAAAAAATCCAAACCCGTATAGAAACTACCTGTAGTAGGATGCAGACTTGCCTTGACCGCCTTGGGAAGCTTCACCTGGGCTTAGGACTGATGGGTTTGGGGGTTTTGAGATTTGGGTTTTAGGGTTTAGGGTTCGGGGTTTGTGGGATTAGGGTTTGTGGTATTAGGGTTAGGGCTTGAGGGATTAGGGTTTAGAGTTTAGGGCTTGGGGTTTAGGATTAGGGTTTAGCGTTTAGGGTATATGCAGACAAGGTCTCACAGATTCTGTCGGACTACAGGGAGCCGAGTTAGGCCAGGAAAAATGGGGATCAGGGTATGGCACTGAGGCGGTTTAGGGATTGATGGGTTCGGCGTTCAGCAGAGAGGAGGTCTCACTTTTAGAGCAATTTCAAGGGATTGAAAGGATTGACTCATTTTTTTCCGCGGCCCCACTTCCATCCAAAAATAAAGCATCGAAACGCACTATTGACAGATTTGGGGTTTAGAGCATTGGGGTGTAGGATTTCGGGGCTTGGACCTGAGGGTTCAGAACTTCAGGAACATGGCTTGGAGTGGCCCTACAAGCCCTCAACCCATCCTGCAATCTCTCTCTAATTCACTATGTCACTATGGTTCATCGTGAGCTTTGGCCAAGGCCTTTAGTGTGCCAAATACTGCGGACCAGTATGAAGCACATAAGGCGCTTTACCTTGCTTTTGAGGCAATGCAGATGCTGCTTCAATAGGTATGTATGGGCGTTTAGCTTCGTGGGAATCGGTTCGTTTCAGACTCTCAAGCAGTACCGTGGTTGAAGTTTAACATTATGGCTTTGGCGCTCCGATTAGAAGCAGACTACATCGAAAGCTTCGAGGCCCCTCCATGTTTCTGAGCACCCCCAACAACACCCTAAGTCCAATCTCACAAACTCCGAAACCAAAACCCCTAATCTCTAGAATCCCTCGAACCCGGAATCCCCAAATTCCCAAAGCCCTGGACAACTAAATCCTCGATCCTAAGTTGGCCTCCCATTGGCCCCGCCTGCCACAAAGGTCGGATCTTCATTGCCTGCTCCGCACTTCGGCTGGTTCTAGGCTTGGGGGAGGGGTGGGAGCTAGGGCTTCACTCGCTTCACGGTTTCGCGCTTTAGCGGGGTTAGGTTTCAGGGTGTGGACTCTGTCGGAACTCGGACACTGCAGGCGAGGTGGGTTCGGCTCGAAGGGCACGGCGTTGGCATGCAGGCAGGGCTCGGTTGGCAGCAGGCATGTCTACGTCACTGCAAAGGGAAGACAGCAGTAGATTACGAACCTGGCTTCGTGTGACCGTGCAACCCCATAAAGCCCAAAGTAAAGTACAGAAAGGCTGCATTGCGCGTGGCATGGGCCCCATGGTGACACTTCCAGACCACAACCCCTCGAGTACACCGCCCCCGTCATCAAGGACATGAGCGCTACGGATTTAGTATAGTAGACCCTAGAAGGTTGGAACATCATTATCCTGATGCCCTAATCGGTAAAATTATTTTGTTTCGAACATCCCCATCCGCTTTTGCGAGGCCTACACAAACTACTGTATAGGCCAACGGCACTAGAACGGTAGTCCGTGCGGTTGGGCACTCCAGGTAGTCTCACCTTACTCCAGATAGTCTCACGGTAGTCTGTGGGTTGGGCACTCCAGGTAGTCTCACGGTAGTCTGTGGGGTTGGGCACTCCAGGTAGTCTCACGGTAGTCTGTGCGGTTGGGCATTCCAGGTAGTCTCACAGTAGTCTGTGCGGTTGGGCATTCCAGGTAGTCTCACGGTAGTCTGTGGGGTTGGGCACCTGTCTCTGTTGTAGTCTCAGCGGGCGAGGAGTAATAGCTGATTTTAAAATCTAACAACCCCACACCGAAGGTGGGGAATAAAGGGGATCCTCACAGTAATCATGCGTAATCCATGTTCCAACTTTCTAGGGTTCACTGTATGTGGAGGATGCAGTGAACAATTTGAAGCATAACCGTGGCGAAGTATCCCCCCAGTAGTACCTACAACCCTTTCGGGATGAGAAATTCCCTCAGAAAGCGCACCTGGCCCACACCTTGGGATGGTGGTACGTCGATGGGCGCCAGCTCGGCTGGCTCCTGGCTCCCAGGTTGTTCTTGTTTCCAGAGTTATATATATATATATATATACACACATATACATATACATTGATTGTATATGTGAGTGTGTAATTTATGTAGGAATGTATACATAAGCATATATGTATATTATGGGTAAGCTAGATAGACAGATGGATAGATAACTAGACATAGTTTCGTTTCAGTGTCCCTTTAATGATGCGAGCTTGCGAAATTGTTCGTTTTGTTCGAAAGAGTACCTGACGGGGCTTTACTGTACAAGCTTTGGGGGTTGGGAACTGGTGTATTATTCTTGCATAATCACAAAGAGAAACCCGGAAACATAGCATCGACAGTCATTCCGGCTTCTACGACTAGCCCCAAGCCCTAACCCCTACATTTCTGTAAACCTTAAACCCCAACCCCGTAAACCCAAACCCTGGACTCTGGACCCCTTTTGCAGCAAGCTAAAGTCCCTTAGACCCTACCCTAAACCCTAAACCCTAAACCCAAAAACCCTAAACCCCCTAAACCCTAACACCAAAACCCCGACGTCTGGCTCAAGCCTCGGGTGCTTTTGCTTTCTCGGCTTTCTCTTGGGCCTCGGCCTCTTCGCCTGCCAGGCATGTCTCGAAGGTTTGCAAAAGATTTCCGTTTAGAGTCTTAAAGGGGTTTATGAGCTTATAACTGTACCTGCCGAAACCGTTAACAAAAGACCCCTTTTGACTTCCAGTGTCAGGGCTTAGGGCGGGTTTTGTGGAGGGTGAAATCATCCAAACTTTTGGGGGCCCTACCTGGCTATCAAGAGCACCATGTAGGGTTTATGGCGGCTTAAGGTTGAAACTTCCTTCTGCTTTACAGTCTCGCGTGGGGAAAATGCAAGTTGCTGGAATTCGGCCTTCGCGATGGTGAGAAAAGAAAAGATTGCAACCCATGAGCATAGCGAGAAAACACTAGGTTCGAGTCCTTGTTTCTTAGTCCAGTTAGAGGTTTGTTTTGTTCGGGAGCAACATTTTGCCACAGTTCTCTGCGCCAAGATCACTCACGTGCCAGTTCCTAAGCATGTGCTCAGCCAGCTAGTTCAAACAGGGGCCTTAGTTATCACGTTTCTTGTGGGTTTCAGGTTTGGGGTACAGGGCTTTGTGTTTCGGTGTTAGTCGACGCCAGAACCCCTCCGAGTCCGAAACCCTCTAATCCTAAGTCATCAGTCACAGACCCTTAAACCTGGACCCTGGGTTATCAAGTCTTGGCACTAAGTCCTAAGCCCCAAGTCCTACACATTAAGTCCCATATCCGAAATCTCGCACCGGCCCTTTTTTCCCAGCTTTTTCTCCACCGGCTGAGACGCTCCCGGATCTCTAGCGACAAGCCGAGTCTCTCAGCTTCGTAATGTCCGAAGACATTTTGGGGTTTAGGGCTCGGTTTCTTGGGTGAGAGGCTTAAGCCTTGGTTCCTTTTGAAGGCTCTTTTGCAATTGCGTGTGGTCAAAGCTTTCTTCGATATTTTTCAGGGTGAAGCCCTTTGCGCGAGGGTCTAGGGTTTAAGATGTAGGATTTCGGCGTTATTGCTTTTTTCATGAGCTTCAGCAACGGATCAGGCTTTGGGGCTGTTGGGCTTCAGAGGTTCAGGGTAAAGGGTTCAGGTTTGGACTCATGGCTTTACCCCCAAGCTCTGTACTCTATTTCCGAAGCTCCGCCATCTTGTATCTAAGGAGGAAACCCGCAAAAAAAAAAGCTAAACCCTAAACCGTAGACCAATTTAAGCTGCACGGCCTAGTCAGTCCCTGACCCCTAAAGTGAAGCCCAAGCCTACACTTAACCCGCCCTGAAAGCCTGAACTAAACACTAAGCCCACGCCCGGTAACTGCAAAAGTCCCTAAACGAAAACCTAAACCAAACGGTAAACCATACCCTAAATTTAAGCTAAACCTTCAACTAAACCCTAAAACCTAAATAAGCCCTTAGTTAGCCGCAGCTTTTGGAAGCTCCGCGTACTCTGGCAGAGCGGGCGTCTCTTGTCGATGCCTCCTTGGCTGACTTCTGAAGCCCGGGTTTGGGGTTTATTTTTAGGGCTTATCCGGCTCAGGGTTTGGAGTTAGGGCTTATAGGGATTAGGGTTAGGGGTTAGGACCGAAACCAATCCTCGAAGTCAAGCCCTCCCTCAAGCTACACTTGCCGCGGATTTTTAAAATAAAGCAAAACAGAAAACTACTTTAACCTACCAGAACCTACTTTTTTGTATGGTCCCTATAAATCCCATATCAGGGTTTATAATAACAACCTACAAAAAAAGTAGGGTTTAGTAGCTCCAGGTAGGCTCTTGCAACATACCGAGGAAGAGTACCTGCTGTGAACCCCTCCAAGACCCTTACAAAATCCGTAAAACAAAAGATGATTGACCCTGCTACTATTCGAAAAACCCAACACGACAAGGAAATCGTATGCATATGGTTTTGAAACCCGTATTAATAGACCCTAAACCAGAACCGATGGCATGACAGCCACCGCCACAAACAGCCAAGCCACTCTGCCTCGGAAACTTCAAAGCGCTCAAGCGCTTCTTTTGCCGAACGCCGGACCTCTTCGTGGGAGAGGCTTTGGGTTTCGAATTCAAAGGTTTATAGTGTCTAGGGGGTGCGTGTTTTCGGCTTCGGGATGGGTCCTTATTGCTTTTTGCGCGTTCTTTGTTGCGGGCTTGTGTTGGTTTCATGTTGTTGCTTAGCTGAGTTGTCCTTTAAGCCCTCTGAAAATTATTTACGATTATGGTTCTCTACAAACTAGTAGGGGAAATTTAAATAGATCCCAAAGGACAACCCAGTTAGAGTTTTGGGGCTGCAGGGCGCCAAAGTGGTTCGGATGGGAGACTGTCGGGTTTCCGACAGTTTGGTACCTTTAGGGTTTAGGGTTTAGGGTTTAGGGCCAGGAAAAGACAGAACGTCGGTTTTGAAGGTATTTTCGAGGAACCCTTCAGGTCTAGCATGACTAATTCTTCAGTCTTTTGTGGTATGTGCAGGGGGCTTTCAAAGCATTGCAAGCGATTTGGGGGCTTCCAGAAAAATAGGAGACCCTAATACGGTACCCTAAATAGTAGGATCCTTATTATACGGACCCCAACATAAGGTACACCAATTTTCGGAAACTCTAAACCCTAAACCCTGTATAGAACCCTTATAGATCCCTTTAAGGAGCCCTCTAAAGGATAACCAATTTTCGGAGAGGGCTGGGGGTCCAAGAGAGTTCGAGGGCTCAACCTTCCGGCTCGGGGGGGCCAGCGGAGCTCTTGGCTGCAAGAGCTCAGGGCCCGAGCTCCTTTAACTAGGATACCCAGTAACCTAAGAATCAAAAGGCCTCTCTTTTTGGTATTGGGTAACTTTATAAGGAACCTAGGACTACAAAAAGGGAATAAGGGTACTACTGGGCATCCTAGTTAATGTAATACCCAAAACACGCCGAAAACTTGAAGGACAAGAACACACACACACACACACACACATATATATATATATATATATATATATATATATATACATATGTACACACACACAACATGATCAAGCACCATAAGGCAGTTTACAATCACCACAGCCCCCGAGCAAGCAACAGAAGACACAAAACCGCTTCCCATCTGACGAAAACAGCGAGGCTCGGCCAAAAAATCGCAACACACCCCCCTATAAACCGTACATAAGCCCTTGAACCCTACACCCCTTTTCGCCTAAACCTTGAAACACTGTTACATAGAGGTTACCGGACCTCCAGCTGATCCACATGCCCTCCGGCTTTCCTTGGCTTTCTCTCTTCGTTTATACAAACCTATTGTACCTATATACTATATACATCTGTATATATGTATGTATGTATGCAGTTATATGTACATATGTAGGTGCATGACGATTACACATACAGATAGTCAAATATACACAGAGACAGAGAGGGAGAGAGAGAGGGAGACAGGGATAACGATACATATGGGGATCGTGACAGCGAGAGCTATGGCGGTGGCGATAGAGATATTGATACAGGCATCGACATAGATACAGGCATGTGTGTAGATGCGGAGATAGATATAGGTTCTTTCACAAACGGTTCAGATATTCACCAAAGGCAAGTTCCATTTACTGCCGGTGGCTATGATCAACCTAAGCCTTCAGTATCCTTGACCCGAAGCCCTTATCAAAACAGCTTGGCTTCTGAACCAGGTTGATGACGGAATCCACGATTCCCAAGACCTCCCGGCTGCAGTCCTCGCAGATTTCCGGTCTAAGGATCCGCCTGTTGCTTTCAACAGTCTACTTACATAGGGCCTAGGGTGGAGATTTATACGCGACTCGCAGCCTCAAACATAAGTTTCGATAGTTTTGGTGATCTCTAGTAAAAAAATACATACCCGGAAAAGGAATAAGCGAAACATTTTGCCGAGAGCCGTATCATGTAGTGTGGACTTTAGGATTTAGAGCTGAACGGTTCCCGCGCTCAGGGTTCAGGTTGCAGCATCGAAGGACTCTACCTTACACACCCCCTAAACCCAAGAGTAACCTAGGAATAAAAAGGGTGCCCTCTTTGGTTTAAAGGGGCTTATAAGGAACCTGAACCCTTAAAAAGGGGATAAGGGCCTACTCTAGGTCCTAGTCCCTGCCGGATCTCGGCCCAACTTTAAGCTTTCCTCCAGGTTCGGGCGTGTGTTGCCGGGCTCGCCCGGCACAGCTAGCTGAAATGGATTTGCCTCCATAGATACAACAGAGCTTTTTGGGATTCATTACGGTACATCGAACAAATAGTACAGCAGTATGACTAATTCAGGCCCCGACATAATTCGATGCTTGAGGGCCTCAGGTTTGCAGGGTTTCGGCCCTCTTTCTCGGAAAAGCGGGGCGAAGTTTCAGACAGAGCCCGTCTCGAGCGTGGGAAACCTGGTTCCGGTAAGGCCTCCTTTCCTTTAAAGACCCTAGACATAACGGTTGAATCAGAGTCATGTATAAAAGAATATGCATATATACGCGTGTATGTACTTGGGGCTCTATACGGTTTTTTTGTTGTCAAGGGTTTCGTAAGGTTTAGGGTTGAGGGTCTACTTGATGTATCAGCGGACTTAGTAAGTAGGGTTCAACCTAAGGTACCTATAGGTTGGACCTACCTGTAAATCCAACGAAGGTACACAACAGTTCTACTTATTCCTTGTAAAATTCCAAACCCTTAGGTTTTTGAACTGTCGGGTTCGGGTGCTTGAACCCGGCTCGTTTGGGAAGAGAGGAGCATGTTTTGGGCTTAGGCTCAGGGTTTGGGCTACTGTGTTGGTTCAGGAGGCTCACACGTAGTCTGGTCCTCTTGCGTCACTCCAGCGCCTTCGTTGAGCTCGCGGAAATGCCTGGCCATCAGCTTCTCACTCTCAGGGTCCGAGTCACTAAGCCCTACAGCTCTTTGGGGAGCACTAAATAGAACACAGTGGGCAAATTGTTGCTGCACGGCGTTCTGCAAAATCAGCGCTCAGATTCTTACGTACAGGGGCCTCCATAAATACAGTACGGGTCTGGAGTATATCATAGGATTCTCGTATGATGAAAAAGAGCCTATTAAGAGATATTACGCCTATATGATAATTCGACCTCCATATTGCGTCCCCACGTAGGAGGTAAGCAAGCAATATTCAAGTTTGGAGCTCCCCACAAAGGAAGCCATGATCCTCCCCCTGTTACAAGCACACCAGATGCAATTGTGCCCCGGAGCCGTTCAGCCAACCCCAAACCCTATAAACTCTAAAAGCCCGAAAGGGTACTGGACTCAAAACCGTGCCCCCTAAACCCTAAAACCCTAAACCGACTCAAAACCGTGACCCCTAAACCCTGAACGCGCCCTGGACAGCTAGGCAGAGTAGCTCAGGGATGAAAGGCTTAGAAGCCCCGGGTCCCCCCAAAAAGGCTCCCTTGTCAATTTTTATCGTCGTTATTAAGTGCTTGCAGGCTTTCAAAAAGTTTTGTATACGGCTTTCGTAGAGTTTTATGAGGCTTTCATAAGGGTACTGAACAGTTCATGACGGCCTACATGCTTGATACGGCTGTAGGTGCCTGAACAGTCTGTGAGCATATCCCTTCAGGTCTGCTGAGACTACCCTTTTGCAAGAGTTCTAACTTCCCGAGAACCGAAGAAGATAGCATGAACAGTTCGAATCATATCGTCAATGCCCGACAAATTTTCAGGCCGGGAGTGGAAAAACTATATGTTTTAACACTCTTGCCAACACATGGCCCAGGTACAGAGAGGTCATCTGCTTCAGCACCCTCCTTGGTCGACATGCGGGGGGCTTGAGGGCGTTGCGCTATAAATTCCTGCAAGTTTAGGGTAAAACACCTTGAAGGTGCATCGGTAGATCTCTCGTTTCGGTCTGCCCTCACGCAGCAATATGTGCACAAGCACCGAGAACAGTGAACATTCCTTCATCAGCCAAAGCTTGCATAAATGCCAGGTATGTCTTACCGGCCAACAGACATGGTATCTTCCTCGTCATGTGGCACCCTCTTCTTCGATTTCCGAATTCTGCCACACAAAGCATGTTGAACCCTGCATCTTCCGTCCCAAGACCCAAAACCCTCAATCAAACGCCAACGTAAAAACGACATCGTAAAAGACTCACCCCTGAATCCGAATCCATCCTAACTCCTCACCCGTATACCTGAACTGCTGCGCATAATCTCATCTTCTGGTTCCAAAAATGTCCATACACGTAAGTACAGTTAAGACAACATGAAAATGTGTATATATCCATATACATATGCCCATATATATGTATATACATATACATATATATATATATATGTATATATATATATATATACACATGTATATACATATATATATATATATATATATACACATGTATATACATGTATATATACACATATATATATATATGTATATATATATACACATGTCAAAATACATGTGTATATATATATATATATATATATATAACAACTCCGGCCAGAGGTCTGGAGGCTGGCGCCCGTGCCCTGCAAATTGATGGCCACGTTATTCGCCACGGCGTTCAAGAAACGGACGTCTGAAGCCGAGAAAGGCGCCTCTGGGTAGTGATCAGAATAGGGTTCCTGTACTATAAGGGATCTAGAAGGGTGCTAGAATATAGGGGCGCTAAGTGTTAGAGTAGGGTTTTAGGGCACATTCTACTATAGTTATATTGAGAAAGGCGCCTCCATGTGAAATGTCTTTTGGGTTTTAAGGGCTTTGTTTGGGTTCAGGAGTTTATGCATGAGATTCTTGTCGGTGCTCGGTGCACTGCACTTCGAGCGCCTTGTTTAGCTGTCGGGCTTATGTCAAGAACGCAAGGTTCCTAACAAGTGGATTTTTGTCACTCGCGCTCGGCAGGGCAGGCGAGGTGTGAGAATCGACTCTAAGCACACTTGTTTGGACGTCCTTTCCGAAGCCAGAACAGGGAGGTTCTATGCAATCCATCTTAGCTGCATCAAGACTTGTGCAATCCATCTAAATAATTATCCGATCTTAGCAGTACGTGCTGAGACTTCTACAGGGACGAGCGCAAACCGTCTGGTTTAGAGTTCAAAGTATCCACAATGGCTAACCAGGTTATGCTTATTCATCTTCAACTTTACCTGCATGTTCACCATCATCACCATCTTCTTTTTCGTTCTCGTCATCCTCATCATCAGGGCTGTCCATCACTGTCATCTGCTCGATTGACTTGACCATTTGCAGCACAAAATTTGCAGCACAAAACCGTCGCTGCGGTGCGTGTAGCTTGCATACCCTACAGCAAAGGCACGCAGAAGACAGAAATGACATCTTCCTAAAATCCATGACCCTAGCCCGTTTTGCCAAGACCCCAATAAGTAGGGTCCAGGAGTCCAGGGTTTAGGGCTTCGTGGTTTTAGGGCTTTGGAGGGCTTAGGGTTTACAGGTGGGTCCAAAGGTGCTTCCGAGAAACTGCCACATCTGCATCCTTCAAGCAAGCTAGGACCGCCAAGACCTTCGGGGCTTACCCTCAACGCTTTCTGAATCGGTTCCTCACTATCCTTACTATGCCTACTAAGTAGGTTCTTTGGGGTTCAAAAAAGCAGCAGTGCTTGCGAGGCCCCTGGTGAAACTCGCTGGCCGTTTTTCCTATGCCTACCCTCAACCATCCACTGTGTTCAGGCTAGAACGGATCTGGTATGAGGGGGTTAGAGGGTTTTGGACCTGGGGTGTGCGGTTTGGGATAATGCTTCTTGGTTTGTCGAGTGGCAGAATAAAACACATCTGTTCTGGGATGCAGCTGGAGGTTTAGTCATCTAGGGCTTCGCACTTAGGGATAAGCCGTTGGTTCGGGAGAAAAGAACCTGCGGTGCTCGTGCCTTAGGAATTCTGAAGGTTACTTTAGCTTGTACTTCCAGTCACCTAGTTAGTATCGCCTTTTGCTTATATCATTCTTTGTGCTTTAAGCGACTCCATTCAAGAGCCCCGGAGAATAGTGCTCTGAAGCCCACCTAGCACAGAGCCCCAAGCCCTGAAACCCTAAGCCGAAAAACTGGAACCTCAAACAAACCCTGAAAGCCCAGACCCCTCCACAAGCAAAACCCTAATCCCAAATTCTCTTGAAGGCAACCCGGAGCCCACAGACTACAGTTCACAGACTCCCTAAGAGCCATCTTAAACCTCAAAATCCGTCAAGACCCCTCAAAAAACCATTGAAATGTGAACCCCGATGCCTCCCCATCCGTTGAAAGACATGGGGAGGCCAGGACAGCTCGAAGATTCATCCCCGTGTTGCGGTAATCCTCGTGGATGGGTGGGGCGGGGGCCAATTCTATGGGTTCCTGTAAGGGTTCCCGCTATGTGTAGCAGCAGTAACAGCAGTAGCAGTAGCAGTAGCGGTAGCGGTAGCGGTAGCGGTAGCAGTAGCAGTAGCAGTAGCAGTAGCAGTAGCAGTAGCAGCAGCAGGAGCAGCAGCAGGAGCAGTAGCAGTAGCAGTAGCAGTAGCAGCAGTAGCAGCAGTAGCAGCAGTAGCAGCAGTAGCCAGCAGTAGCAGCAGTAGCAGCAGTAGCAGTAGTAGCAGTAGTAGCAGTAGTAGTAGTAGTAGTAACAGTAGTAGTAGTAGTAGTAGTAGTAGTAGTAGTAGTAGTAGTAGTAGTAGTGGTGGTAGTGGTAGTAGTAGCAGCAGTAGCAGTAGCAGTAGCAGTAGCAGTAGCAGTAGCAGTAGCACTAGCAGTAGCAGTAGCAGTAGCAGTAGCAGTAGCAGTAGGAGTAGGAGTAGGAGTAGGAGTAGGAGTAGGAGTAGCAGTAGCAGTAGCAGTAGCAGTAGCAGTAGCAGTAGCAGTAGCAGGAGTAGTAGTGGCAGTAGTAGTGGTAGTAGTGGTGGTAGTAGTAGTGGTGGTAGTAGTAGTAGTAGTTGTTGTTGTAGAAGTAGTAGTAGCAGCAGCAGCAGTAGTAGTAGTAGTAGTAGTACTGGTACTGGTACTGGTACTAGTACTAGTACTAGTACTGGTACTGGTACTGGGACTAGTACCACTAGAAGAAGTAGCAGTAGTAGTATGAGGACACGCAGCCCAAAACCCTAATTAGTCCGGTCCGGATGTTCCAACGTTGAGGGCTTGTGCTTTCCGGTTCTAGGCTTTTTTGTTCATGGTTTAAGAGTTTTGGGGGCTAGTGCTAGAAGTCTTAGGGGGGTTTCGGTTCAAGCCTTAAGGTTTGGTTTTGGTATATATAAAAAGCGGCCTGAATGATTTGGAATAGGTTCTTTCCGGTATATGTCGATATAGCTATGTAGGTCTTCAGGCCCACATACAAGCTTCCACATCCGAAACCCTTGAACATTTGCACTTGCAGAAACCTGATGGAAAATCATCGAAGCCTTAGACAGCCCCGTAGAACTCTGTAATTATAACGTTGCAAAGCTTTCATAGGAACCCTACAAGATCTCTTCGAGAGCATCCATAATAACAACATCGCAAAAACCGAAAAGTGCTTACCACAAAAACGAGACCCCTCTTGGTAAGCACTAAATCTCGATCGTTCAGACGGAGCGCCGGGTGTCCTAGACCCTAAAGTAAAATCCAGAAAGTTGGAATATGATTATCCTAAACCCTTTATGGTAAATTATAAGGTATCCTGCCCTGAAACCATATTCCAACTTTCTGGAGTTCCCTTTAGACCCTGACCGTGTCCTCGTGAACCTCCGGCTTGTAGAACCGTGAGTTGACTAAGTCGTTGACGCAAATGGTGACGCCATCCTCTGAGGCTCTTATAGGGTTTAGGGTGAGGCTCTTGTAGGGTGGCTTCCTTTTAAAGGTACACTGTTGGTTCTTTATAAGGTTACTCTTAAGGCTCATCGGGTGGGCTTTTTTCCATACTTAGGGTTTGAGGCTTAGGGTTTGAGGCATCGAGCAAGCTGCTTGCAACTTTCCGCTTCCGACCTGTTGAAGGGACTCAGATATACCAGCCCCAACAGCTTCAACCGTCCGCTTCGCAGCGGGTTTTATCCACCCCAGGAATTGTTCAAATCCGACGACACGGAACTACGAAATCCTCCACCCTTTTTTTGACTAAACGGCCCTAGACCCTACATCACGGAACTATGAGGTCCTCCTTGCACTTGTGGAGGACCGGCGCCTCTGCCGCAGAGGTGCGGAAGAAGGGTACCTTATCGCTGACCTTGAGGATGAGGTCATCTTTGTGACCAACATCCTGGGCTCGGAGCAGGTTTAGGTGGCTTCGGGGGGCCTTAGGGTTTACCTTAACCCTGAATAACCTACCTTTTGCGGCTTCCTTATTATGATTTCCTTATATAAGTCCTTAGAAAGGTAGGTCCTTCAGGGTTAAGGTCGGGTTTGGGGTTTAGGGTTTAGGTGTTAGGGAGACTTTCGGGGGACCGTAGGGTTTAGGGGTTTCAGCACTCACTCTTGGACATACCACAGCGAGGATTCCAGTACCGACGACGGCACATTGGCCCCGCCCAGCACGGTTTAGGGGTTTAGGGTTTAGGTGTTAGGGAGAGTGTAGGGATGTTTGGGGTCACAAAGCATGAAATTCGGCTCAGTTTCCTTGGGGGCTGAGTACCCCAAAGAAGGTTGATCTTCTCAATTATGGTAGGGTTACAAAAACTCCAAAAGGCTAAAGGTTACCTACTTGGCTACTCAGGTTAAGTATCTTGCTATACGGAAACCCCGATTTGGACGTATGGTGCGGGGAAAGGAAACCGGATCCAACAGAGAACAAACAGTATATGATAGTACTCCAGAACCTAGCATCCTCAACCCCTAAACTCCGAAGAGAAAAAGAGCTCAGCATCCTAAAGCATCACCAAAAAGTACATCAGAGCCAGGGATCACCCACCATGAGAATGGTAGCCGAGGCCCTTAAAACCTCGGTACAGTCGCGCATAACCTCCTCGTAGATATTCTCCAGCCGCGAGTCCTGCTCACAGCTCTGCCTTAACCCTCAGGGTCCAAAGGACCCAATAATTGGGTACTCTGTTTAAGGATAGTAGCTATGTAGGTTAGGATTTCGGAGAGTATATGATTACTAGGTACTTAGACCCTTGGGGTTCACCTACCAACCTACCAGAACCTACTTTTTTGTAGGGTCCTTATAAATCCCATATTAGGGTTTACAAAAAGGACCTACAAAAAAGTATTTTTTAGCACGTCTAGGTAGCCCTTAACCCTGAAACTTGAAGGCTTTGAAAGGAACTGCACTGCAAGAACCTTCATGTCGTCCTAAGCCCCAAACCTCTAACAAAACCTGAACCCGTGTGGCCCTATAGATTCCGCGGAGTCCTGTGCCGGGTTGAGACGCACTCCCGGCATGTTCAGTGCCCGCTCGTATCTTTCCTCCGACGCAGTGCTCTTTGGGAACTAACCCTTAACCCGCTCTAGACCTATGCTAAGCCCTGAACTAAAGCCTGACCCGAAACTGACAACTCACAACCTATACGGGAGTTTCCGAAAATTACAGGTAATTACCGTCTTTTGGGGTCCTCATAATAAGGATCCTACTGTTTAGGGTACTATATTAGGTCCCCTATTTTCGAAACCCCCATACAAGGATCTACAATGAATTCAACGTACCTCGAGACTCCAACATTCCTCAATTAAGGAGTATTCGTTAAATTAGAGTAACTCGTAGGATCCCTAATATGATTCAAAGACTGCCCATACTTAAGTGGTATTGGAGTCTCTGGGTAAGCCGGGTGGCCCGATCTTGGAAGACAAGTCCCACAAATCGGAACCGTTTTGAGTCACGACGGTCTGGGGCCAAAATCTCAACCTAGACCCTTAACCCCGGCCCTAAACAACAACATTGCAAAACCCTACTAGCCCACCTGAAACCCGAAGAGAACCACTTCAAAGCCATTCAAAGCCCAAATTCCCTACCTGAAACCCTAACAAACACACCACAAACACCCTAAACCCCTAAACCAAAAACCCTTGCTTGAGGAGGCTCAAGAGCTGCTCGGAAGCTCGAAGACAGGCCGTAGGCAGTGGACAAGCTTGTCCTTAAAGCTTCTCTAGGGTTTAGGATTTAGTCCTGAAGCTTGACGAACGGTTTCCTTTAAGGGATTCCTTTTCAACTATTTGCTTAAGAAACACCCAAAAATAATGATAATAATAATAATAATCCCTATATTACCCCCCATAAGGAACTTTTTCTTTTTTTTTTTTTTTTTTTTTTTAATTTTTTGGTGGTTCTCAAGCAAATAGTAGTTTTGCAAGCACCTCTAAGGATTCCTGTCTTTGAGGCTTCCTTTAGATAAGGGTTCCTTGAAGGCTTCTCTAGGTTTTCATAGCATCTTATAGCTCTTCATAAAGGTTCTGTAACGGAGTCAAAGCCTTTCGAAGTGCTTTCTACGATTTCCTTCCACGAGACCTTCGCGGTTTTGGAAAGTTTAAACTAAGGCTTCTATGGTGTGTTTTTAATGGTGAGTGTAGGCCTTTGCAAGGGTTCATAGATGATAGGGTCTTTATAAGGTTGGTTTTGTCGGTTGTCTAGAAATTAATCATTGTACTGTAAGGTTTGGAAGGGTTCTGTACGAGTTCCTTCAAAATGGCCCTGCAGGACTTCACGGCTTTCGGGCCAAAGTGGGAGTTTCCGAAAATAAGGGGTACCTTATTTCGGGGTCCTGACAATAAGGATCTATTTAGGGTACTACATTAGGGTCTCTTATTTTCGGAAACCACCATATAGGGTTTATGCCTGTCCCGAAAAAAATGGAGTCCTTCAGGGGCGCCTGGAGGCTTTGTTGTCGGCACCCGGGGGTTTGAAGAGGGCTTGGTTGGGTTTCAGGAATTTCGTGGTTAGAGGCTTACGTAGGTTTGAAAGGGTTTTACTACTGGCTTAGTTCCCCAGCCACCCCTCGATACGAAAGATGTCCGCATACCGACTATCAGCTTTAACAATGAACCCCAAGAATACAAGATAAGATAACGGAATACTACTGGGGACCTAAATCATGCTTTGAGATTAACAAAGTTGTTTACTTCCAGTTGAGCGCACGATTTGTGGCGTTCATGCTAGGCGGGGGTTTAAAAGACCTGCAGACGGGGAAAGCGATTTGTTTATGCAGAGGCAAGTGTCGAGATCTGAGAACACAGGGCAGCGCACACGTCCTGGTCAGGGATGGCCCTAAACCCTAAGCCCTAAAACCACCAAAACCCTAAACCCCTAAACCCTAAGCCCTAAAACTAAACCCTAAACCCTAAACCCTAAAACCACCAAAACCCTAAACCCCTAAACCCCTAAACCCTAAACCCTTAAGCCCTAAAACCACCAAAACCCTAAACCCCCAAAACCCCTAAACCCTACAGCGAGCTCGGGCTTAGGGTTGTGGATGTAGGGGAGTGGACGCTCGCATATGGCAGTACCAGGAAAGCCTCGTAAACCTCATGTATGTGTGTATAAACAAAAATATGTGCATATATATATATATATATGTATATGTATATGTGTATATATATATATATATATATCAACACGAGAAAGAAACAAACAGCATCAAGGAGAGATAAAGGCAGAGAGAAATAGAGCTAGAGAGAGAGAGAGAGAGAGAGAGAGAGAGGGAGAGAGAGAGAGAGAGAGAGAGAGAGAGAGAGAGAGAGAGAGAGAGAGAGAGAGAGAGAGAGAGAGGGAGGGAGAGCGAGGGAGAGGGAGAGGGAGAGGGAGAGAGAGAGAGAGAGCGAGAGCGAGAAAGAGAGACAGAGAGACAGAGAGAGAGAGAGAAGAGCGAGGGAGGGCGGCAGGTACACTGACTAACCTTCTAAAGGGGCCACATCAAACAACAAGTACATTCGCCACACCCCTAAAACCCTGAACCCTGTAACTAAACATCCTCAACTCCAAAGCCTAAGGTTTTGGGTTTAGGGCTAATCCCAAGATCCTACCTCATCTCGATCAAGGAAGCCATGGCCCTCAGTGCCCCGTTTGTTGATGAGCTGGAGGACGCCGAGAACCTGGGGGGAGAGTGAGCATCTGGGTTTCGGGCTCTAGAGTTCAGGGTTTTGGAAGTTATAAAGTAAAAGCCAGAAAGTTGGAATATGATTATCCTAAACTAAACCCTCTGTAGTAAATTATAAAGTATCCTACCCTGAAACCATATTCCAACTTTCTGGAGTTCCCTTTAAGGGTTTAAAAGACCTCTACCTGGACCCCAAAAGTATGTAGAATAGTAGCCTTTATGGGTATTTGTATTGGGCCTTTGTTTTACCTACTTTGGGGGGTTTAGGTAAGGCCCTTCCTACCCAGGGCCTCGGGTTCAGCACGTCGGCTTAGTTTAGGTTACTTATTTAGGGAAATAGGGTTTAGGGTCCAGGGTAGTTTCCATAGTAGTAGGGTCCTACATTCACAAATGGTTCACCAGAATTCTACAAAGGAGACTATGGGTAACTTAAACTAAACCATTTGTGAGGAACCCTGACAAGGTACGGTCATTTAGGGTTCAGGCCGGGTCTGGATGCAAACTTCCGGCCTTGGTCTCTTGATCGGAAGGATCGACGCCAATCACCGGCATGCATAGAACAGAACGGACAGACACCCCGGTGCCAAAGTAGTCATCATGTCGCTTCGGGTTATAAAGCTCCGTCTTTCTTAGGTCGTCTACGTTCATGAAATGCCCAGTTTCGGCCACCCTTCCGGCCACACCCTCGCCGATGCGCAGATGGTCCTTCAACGCGTGGTCAGAAGAAGAGCGTAAGTACAGCTGCCGCTTCTCGTAGTCTACCAGAAACAGCAACGCTGCCTCGCAGTCCAGAAGTTTCGTCACGCTCTCGACCACAACGTCGAACATTTCATCTAGGGCCTTCTCCCGTTTGCGTACATCACTGTGGTCCATGAACAGCAGTGGGAACATGCCGACGAGGCAACCTACGCAAATGCCTACCAGTTGGCCCAAGCGCTCATAGTTCTTCGTCACGGCCATGCCTTCTTGGACACGTGTTAACTTGGGTGCCTCCACCCCGTATTTGGCGGCCATTTCCTCCACCAATGTGCCAGAGAAGACGCCGACAGCATCAGAGAAGGTATTGCCCAGAGCTGCAGCAGCCATGGTGGAGAGTCCAAACTGTACACAAAGAGTTGCATCGATGACTTCCCCGAGTAGAATCATGATCGCATTATCCAGGACACCAAAACCAAAGAAAGGGATCGCAGCAGCAGTGGCCACCATCCTAAGCTGAGTCTTTGTTGGTGTGGCTTCCCCTTCCGAAGCAAAAGTTTCAAGGACCTTGGCAACTTTGTCGGCTGTCGCATCATCCAGGAGTTCAGCGATGTGGGGTGCGACGGCTGGGTTGTGCTCGACCGCCGCCGCCAACCCCTCTACCAACTCCTGGGTTCTTAAGGAACCGCCCATGGGGCTTTGAGGCCTTTACAAGAGTTTCAGTACGGTTGATGATATAAACCCTCCTGTACCACAACTCCCATCGTCTAGGGTCACTAAGGTACTGCATGATTTAAATCATCAACCCCTAAACCCCAAACCTTAAGTGTTCAAAAGAAGCTTTACGCTCGCTAATCGGAACCCAGGCTCTCTCCGCGAAGACGCACCCCGCGCTGGCGCACGGAACCTTGGGATGTGAACAAAGGAGCGCTGCGCTCGCGTGCGAAGCCGCCCAAGCATGCCTTTAAAAACTTCAAACGGACAGAGGCCCCCAGAGACGCTAGTCTCGACGCTTCTTATACCTTAAAGCACATGTATCTGTAGTCATGTTTTATGTGCATATGTATATATATATATATAAGTATGCGAAAACGCGTATATACACTTGTACAAGAAGATTATGATTCATATCCATACATACATATTCAGGAACTACCGTAGGGTCCCTTCATATTCCTTGATAACCTGAGTGAGTCTAAGGGGGCCTGGCAGCTTGATCCAGCAAAAAAAGGGGCTACGTATGCATCTTGCATTGCGGGTTTGGGGTTTATGGGTCTTAGGATTCTACGCTCTCGCAACTCGGTCTTAGGGTTTAGGATTTCGGGTTTAGGGTGTAGGTCTTATTGCTTTAGGAAAGTTCAAGGTTCAAGGATTGGGCTTACATCTCACGGATCCCCCACAAAACATCGTGAATCCTGAAGCGAAGAGCGCAGGGTCCTCGAGGCAAGCATTAACTATAGAGCCGTTATTTTTTCCCACGCGTTATTAGGGTTTAGGGTTTAGGGCTTTAAGAATGAAAATACGACAATAAACAATATTTGAATACTAAGTGCTTACCCGTTCATGCTTAAAGAATCCGTAGAAGCCATTCCGTCAGGGCAGTGAAATCCAAACCTTGAACGTAAATTTGCTTGCCGTAACCCCATGAGCCCCGAAGCAGATTTTCGAAGCTGGACAACCGGCACCTCAAGGAAGTAGAAGAGAGGGCAACGCCCTAAAGCCTAGACATCAAACCTTCTGCCGAAACCTCAGGGCCCAAATCCAAATCTGCTGAGCTTCCTCAGGGACCCGGGCCGAAGCCACCAAAACATTGACTAGGCCTAAGAGTAACCTAGGAATAAAAAGGGTGCCCTTTTTGGGTTAAAGAGGGTTATAAGAGAACCCAAACCCTAAAAAAGGGAATAAGGGCCTACTCTGGGTCCTATTGAGCATTTAGGATTTCGGGTTTACGGATGAGGTCGTAAAGGCTTCACGTATCGGGTTAAGGGTGTGCAAAAGTTTCGGGTTCAAGGTGCACAATAGTTCTCTTAAGGGCGTGCCCCTCAAATCTACAGGGGTTCAGGATTTAGGGGTTTGGGTGTCAAAGCTACTTTTGGTTTTAGCGTTTTATCATTCTGGGGTTTTGGGTTTAGAGCATAAGACCTGAGGGGTTTGCCTTCCTGGGTTTTATGGTTGAAAAGGTCTCATGGCTCTTCTGGATTTATGGATTTAGGGTTCAGTGTTTTCGGTTCGTCTGGCATTTGAGGCCGTTGGTTTTAAAGGTGTGAAGGTACGTTCCCAGCACTCAGGGGAAAAGCCGATGACGTCAACCTTGTCCCAGGAAAGCCCTGTCAAACCCGTTGTTTTGCAAGTCGTGCAAAACAAAAACCAACTATGTAGGGTTGGGACTGAGTTTCTGCCTGCCTCCTTCTTCCTTGGCTTTATCAGGCTCCTGGCCGCGCGTCAAGGCTTTCCGGCAGGGCCCTTGCAAGCCTGCTCTAAACATATGACATCGTCAACTTACCGTGCTGAGCCGAGGCTTTTACTATCGTCAGTCAATGGAATGTCCTTATTATTGTACGCGTTTAGACGGGAGCAATTCCCAACACGACCAACAGCCGAAAACCTTTCCTAAAATGTGCAACTTGCATGTGTTGCATGCTCCTGGGAGGTTATGTTTGGGTGACTGTGGTTCAGATCTCGAAGGTGGTGTGTAGGGTGTGGAGCGAATCGAGTGGAAAAAACGCGCGGTCTGAGACTAAGACTTGATGCAGGACCCTGATTAATACACCCCCTTTGCACAAGAGTTCAAGGGCCTTTATTGTGGAATAGCCCATTTTGGGGAATCGGGCTTACTAATGAGGGGTTTAACCAATTCTGTCTACCAGGCCAAAGCTTGAGCCCCTACCTGAACCTGAAATCGGAACTAGCTCGGGTCCTCCTCCTCTTCCTCGAGGTCCGGAAGCAGTGCATCCAGCTTGTTTGGCGGTGGGAAGGCGAAGGCCACCGTGCCTAGGGCGAGGCTCGGTCGAGCTCTGAACTCTGGATCCTATAAGGCTAAGAATTAGGGTTTCGGGTTTAGGGTTTGGGCTTGGGTTTTTTTGACGCTCACACTCGGCAATACCAAACGAGTATGTAGACAAACTGGGACTTTGATGAACGAGGTGGTTAATCGCTCATCCTGCTGCCAATCCGAACTCTTCCGTAAACCACAGAGGCAAGCAATAACCATACCTCATGAGTTGAAATGGCAGCAAACCTTCCACGTAACAACCAGCCCCTATATCCCACACAAGAAGGTGCCCTCAGACCCTGAACCTCAGGCATCACAATCCTATAAGCATCGAGCAAAAGGATGTTTCCTGGTGCTTGGGTTTCATTGCGGTGCTGGGAAATCCGTTAAAGGCCGGCTTTAAGCTCCTTGCAGGGATATTTGATGATTAAGGCTTCCCAGAAGGGATCCCTTAAAGTGGTCTTTACAGATCCCTTGAAGGAGCTCGATGAACCCTCTAGAACACCCTTGTCCTTTTAGAAATAATAGACAGGGCCCTATACCTATATCCCTTAGTAGGAATTATTCAAGAAGGTCTACGAGCCGGTCTGTTTATTCTTTTGGGGAACCCTAAACCCCTAAACCCTAAACCCTAAACCCCTAAACCCTAAACCCTGAGCCATGAAAAAGGACAAGGCTGCTCTAGAATCCTTACGGGCTCCCCCTGAAGGATCCTTTCAAGGACCGCTTATGGATACCTTACGGGCTCCCTTAAGGCCTTGTCAATATGGGAGTTTCCGAGAATAGGGGACCCTAGGGTTCCTTTAAAGGGTTCCTTGAAGGGATCTATAAGGGTTCCATAAAGAGTTTAGGGTTTAGGGTTATGGGAGTTTCCGAAAATAGGGGACCCGAATATAATGCCCTGAGGAGTAGGATCCGTTTTGTAAGGACCCCAAAATAAGGTGCCCCTAATTTTCGGAAACTCCCATGTAGAAGCTCCCCTCAGGATTCAGAAAGCACAGCTCAGCCTGGGAAGCATTCCCACCCAAAACCCCGAAAGCGCAAAAGAGGAACCGCTAAAGGAAGCCGAAAAGGAACACTTGTTGAAGCCAGGCTCTGATCATGTCAAAGGAACGATCAGTCGGTAACGCTATCATCGCAACTCTAGCATGGGAATCCTGAAGTTGGAACACGAACTGCGGTTGATGATATAAATCCTGCATTACCCACAATAAGGAATATAGCATAATTCCCATACTTTAGGTTCCCTAAGGTAATGCAGGTTTCATATCATCAACCGTATGAAACCTAAATCCCAGAATCCTATATTTACCTCCACGCCCTAAAGCCCTTGTGCATCGGGCCCGGCTGTCCCTGCACACTCTCTTCCTAATCCAAACCTGAAACACTAAACCCAAAAACTTTGCGGCCCTGCATAAACCCTGGATCGCCCTTTGAGCCAGAACAAAAAATAATGATCCCTTGGAATTTTTGTTTGTGAAGTTTTGTTTGGGTTCAGATGAAACAGACTTCCTAAGAACACTAAAGTATAGCCTCGAACACCAAGCCTTCCCCCATTGCTGAGCTTCCTGTTGGTGACGATTCGAGCTTCAAGTTCCGAAAGTTTCATTGCTCCCTCATGAGGGGGAGGTCTCATATGGAGGATTCTACTAGTCAGCGTTGTTGCGACGGCCCCTTTCTGAAACTTCCTTTCCAAGATCAGAACCTAAATTCTCATTAATCACCCGCTCGGAGAATTCAAGACCCGTTTGCTTCGGTGATCTTTCATGGCACCAAAAGATATTGAAGATCATGCACTGACTCCGGCACCCTGGAAGCGCAAGGCAAACGTGACACAGCATCGCGCTTAGTAGATAGTTAGGGCTAGGGTCTTTGGGTGAGTTGTTTAGAGCCACCCCCCCCCCACCCACACACACACCTGAACACGACATGCACAGTCAACACTGCAGAATTCCGGATAAAATACCCTTCATGGAACCTTACACCCCTAGCCCTTAAGCCGCTGAAGCAGGCTTCAAAAGCACCTGTTAGCAGCCCTCAGGGCTGAATCCTACCGACCCCAAACCATCCCTAGCCCGAAAAAAAGTTGTTGTAAGGGATTTAATTTCAGATACCATAATAAGGAAACTAATTTATTTACTATAGATCCCATTTTTTGGTATCTTAATTAAGGTAAGGCAGCCGTTTTATTTATTATAGACCCCTATTTCGTTGTAAGCAAGCCACCGAGGTTAACCCGGAGCCGGCCATTCTCACCAGCCGCCGCGACGAGACATAGCCTCGGTGCAGCCAAGGAACTCGGCCTAGTGGGTGGGTTTAGGGTTTAGGGTTTAGGGTTTAGGGTTTAGGGTTTAGGGTCTAGGATACCCAGTAACCTAAGAATAAAAAGGCCTCTCTTTTTGGTATTGGGTAACTTTATAAGGAACCTAGGACTACAAAAAGGGAATAAGGGTACTACTGGGCATCCTAGGGGTGAAACCTCTTAAGACAGGGGCCTTAATAATTACTAGGCCTAAAAGTAACCTAGGAATAAAAAGGGTGCCCTTTTTGGGTTAAAGAGGGTTATAAGAGAACCTAAACCCTAAAAAAGGGAATAAGGGCCTACTCTGGGTCCTAGATTAGAATAGGGTTTTGGGGCCCATTATACTACAACTATAACCAGAAGCCCTAACATAATAGAGGTGATTATTCAGGCCCCTATATATATATATAAATATATACAAATATAAATATATATATATATATATATATGTATACATATATATATATATATATTTAAACGTTTGACCCCTGAAGCCTCGTAACCTAAACCCTTCAAAAGACAGGAAGCTGTGTACCCTTCGGTAGGTTCAGGTCGAAGGCCACGCCCATAGGCGCCTGACGTCTGCATTGGCAGCTTTATTTATGGAAGGTGGTGGGGTCCGAAAGGCCTTTATCATAAGGCTTTCAGTTTCTTGCAATAACTTTCAGGGTTTAGGGTTGAACAGAGACCATATACGAGCTCTGTTGGGTCTAAGGAACACATCTATTAGGCAGAGGCATAAATTGTAAGGAGCCAGCGTATTAAGACATACTGTATACGTCTGGGGTTGAGTAAGGCATAAGGTCTCTGACACTAAGAATTCGTCGGGGTATCGTTCTAGGTGCATTGGGGCCTGAACTAAGATTAAGAGTTGGGCAAACACAACAAAGGCATATCTAAGAGAAAGCGGTTCAACGAAAGATCACTCTCTGTCTCGCGGACTTAGTTGATGTGAAGCTTTCGCGTTTAGCGGGCTTACACCCTGGTTTATCGAGAAGTTGCGCACCCACCACCATCTCCAGAATTTAAATTCAAGGCTCCAGAGCCCTGCAAGGCCCCCCGAACCCTAAACCCGCAATCCCAAAACTCGCTAACCCTACAGTAGAAGCCAGAAAGTTGGAATATCATTTTCCTAAGCCCTTTATGGTAAATTATAGGTTATCCTACCATTAATCCATATTCCAACTTTCTGGAGTTCCCTTTAAAGTCTAAACAAATCTAAACACCTCAACCCGTAAACCCAACAACCAAGACCCAAAGCCCTCCACAGAAAAGTTAGCATCGAGCGTACATCCGGCAGCTGGGCCAAGACCCCGCCAAAGCGCTCTCTACCGCAACGCTATTCTAGCATCAAGGTGGAAATATATGTGTTCCTGTTTAAATGTGTAAAATACAATATTATGTACTACAAACAACAATAGTCATATATACTTAGATAATCACTTACATGCACAAACTAACGCATGTGTTTACTTACCCTTATGCGACTCGCGAGGGGACATTGACAAATCCGCTGCAGTCGGCAAAATGGCAGGGTTTCACAGATGATACTTCTTGCTACCACATGCACATCTTCACCAGGCCGACCACCAAAAGCACGGCAAGATCATCGTTTCCTCATCCTCCGCAACCTTTCTTCATCATCGGCACCAAGACCATCACCACCATCTTCATCCTCACCGTCAGCAGCATCACGACAAACATGATCCTGATTGTGCTCCTCCAAATTCCCATTGTCACTGCCATGCTTGCCGTGAGGACCGGACAAGGACGTCGGCCTTCATCAACATCGCCACCACGGTCGGGCACAAGAAGTCCAGCATGCTCTATTGCACCATCATTCCACGAGACCTCCTATTCTTCTTAACCAGCATTGAAACCCCCAAATTCTTCGATGCTGGGGCTAACGACGACTTTCGAAACCAAGTGCCTGCATGACTATGTGCCCAAATGGGCAGAACTGCCGCATGCAGTGGCTAGGATACCCAGTAACCTAAGAATAAAAAGGCCTCTCTTCTTGGTATTGGGTAACTTTATAAGGAACCTAGGACTACAAAAAGCGAATAAGGGTACTACTGGGCATCCTAGCCAGTGGTGGCCTGGAAATCGCCGTTGAGGCCAAAAGCGATAACCCCGCCCGGCATCCTTTCGGCAGACGTCTTCGATCCAAGGCTTCGGGTTGATTCAATGGGTTTCGGACGGTTTACAGTAGGGTTTAGGGTTTAGGGGTTTAGGGGTTTAGGGTTTAGTGTTCCAAGCTCTAGACAGCAAAGCTTGAGAGGATTTCAGCGAAAGCTTAAGACTCAAGACCATTGGTCACTCTGTTTGTGGGTTTCCTCACATCCCCGGCGGAACGAAAGTTGAAGCGGATGGGTATTCGGATATTCTTGCGATACACAACAGTTCTGAAAGCTCATCCAATGTTTCAGTCTACACACCTGTCACAGCCTGTAACACTATGGACAATACGAGCGTACAAGTGATGCCAAGATAAGGCCTGCTGGGTGTCACACGCGTCGTCATAGTACAGTCGTGGTGGTGGTGGTGGTGGTGGTCGGCGTCGTAGTAGTAGTAGTAGTAGTAGTAGTAGTAGTAGTAGTAGTAGTAGTAGTAGTAGTAGTAGTAGTAGTAGTAGTGGCAGTGGCAGTAGTAGTAGTAGTAGTAGCAGCAGCAGCAGGAGTAGTAGTAGTAGTAGTAGTAGTAGTAGTAGTAGTAGTAGTAGTAGTAGTAGCAGTAGCAGTAGCAGTAGCAGTAGCTATAGCAGTAGTAGTAGCAGTAGCAGTAGCAGTAGCAGTACCAGCAGCAGCAGAAGTAGCAGTCGCAGTGGCAGCAGCAGTAGCGGGAGCAGCAGCAGTAGCAGTAGCAGGAGGAGTTGCAGTTCTACAGTAGTCGCAGTAGCAGAGACGACATTGGTCACAATCCTGCACCGCGACTGCCACCCCGCTGCTGATGACTGGAACTACTGTTGCCGGCTGCTACCGCCGTTGCTACTCCAACCGCCTTCCCGGAGAAAGCAGCCGGACATAGCTTAATGTTGGCGATGCTGAATCACAGCTTGCCATCTCAACCTCGTGACCAAGGCTCGCCTTGCCCTTCTTATTTGCCTAAGTGGAGAGAAGCCTTCAAGGAAAAGCAGGTCGCGGCCCCCAACCAACCCAGCGCCGAACTGAAAAGCGATAAAGGTCCGAGGCTCATCACTTGGCAACAGATCACATCCTGAGCTGATTTAGGGACAATATAGGGGTCTTTATCATTAGAACAGGCTTTGTCATAAAGGAATTGTAAGGGGATACCATTACTAACTAGGATACCCAGTAACCTAAGAATAAAAAGGCCTCTCTTTTTGGTATTGGGTAACTTTATAAGGAACCTATACAAAAAGGGAATAAGGGTACTACTGGGCATCCTAGGTCCTAGGTGCTGTGTCTTCTGTAACTGTAACTGTTAGGGTTCAGGGTTTCGGGAATTGAAAGCCCCTGGGGATTAGAAGCTTTCGTTGTTTTTTGGGGCTTCTCCTGGGCCTCCTTTCTTGAAGGGGTTGAGCTGTGGTAAGAGTGGCCCAGGTCCGGGGGAACTGTGGGAGGTGTGGGGAGGCTCGAGGGCACTACTTTTGGGGCACTTGAAGGGCTTAAAGGGGCAGATGTAACACAAGCGCCTCAACCCAGGGGTGTAAGTCAGTATGGAAAGCATAAGCTTGCGCCCCTAACGCCCTGTCGACCCCGATCTGTTATTGTATAAAAGCATATAAAAGCCCTGAACCCTAATAAGGCCTGGGGCTTCAGACTTGGATGGTTTTCGGGGGAGGGTAATACAGAATCCTGAAGCCTCAGCAATCAGACTCTGGTATTGGTCCGGACTGTCATCGCAATAAAAACCCCGTCTATCATGCGCAGTCTTATTTGAGGCCCTGTCTTAGCCCATCTGTGAATCCTAAACCTCAGCCGGTAATGGCATCTAGTGCTGCTGTGAGGTGCTAGTTCTGGGCGCATGTCGCCCAAACCCTAAGCCCTGAGCCCTGGACCTCCCAACTCCTCAACCCTTGAATCCTACAGTTGAAGTTGGGTTCCCTTCCCTGACGCGGCAAAGTAACGGTAGTAGTAAGAATGAGTAGTGAGAGATCCCATCAAAATGGGCAGAGGCTCACAAAACGATCTCGTGGGAACCGATTAGGGTATCGACTGCCGAATCACATGTCACATAGGCACATTCCATAACCCCTTTACACCTGGACTATGCATATGAACCATAACCCTAAACCCTACACCCACAACAAATGATGTTGATTGATCGTTTCGCTTTTTTTGGAGGAGCCACTCGCTTTTCGAGGGTGCTGACCAGATCCGGCAGTCCAAGGCAGCCCAACTCTTAACTACCTTTACTCAAGGGTCGACGGGTTTCTCATATCTCCACATGTATGTATATATACACATACATGTTTAGTTTACATAGTAAGTTTCTAAAACAGATAACAGCATATCTTTATCTGTATCTGCCTATCGATCGATTCATCCATTTGTCAATGTGTGCGTATATACATATATACACATACAGCTGTAAACCGAATACAAAAGCAAGCAACTACAAAAGCAAACAAATACAGCAGTAAATGAAACACTGCAAAATATGCTCATGTATATAGAGTTATCTATCTATCTGTATATATATATATACATATATATATATATATAACCTCAAACCCTAAAACCCGCAATACAGCTGGGCATCGCCCTCCTGCCAGCGATCGCCATAGGGCTTTGCCAGGTCCCAGCCTGTGCGTGTTTAGGGAAACGCCAATCGGGTTTACGCCCTCACAACTCGGACACAGCAGGTTTAGGGTTTAGGGTCTAGGGACCCAAAAAAGGCACCTGAAACAGGGTTTAGGGTTTATCATGGTTTATCGTTCCGTGGCCATACGATTGAGAAGTCCCAGAAGCCTTTCTTTGCATATCCCAGCCAAAAGTTGTTGATGTCAGGGATTCGCAAGACGGGGTTGAGGCTCGTCAACAAGCTCTGGTTTAATCTTAAAGCTTCACAGCGAACCTTATATTAACAGCCCATAGCCCCTCAGGGATCCATAATCTAATGGTCTCAAAATGGTACGCAAACTTTCCGGGAGTTGAGGTATCCTACCCTAGACCCTGGCAGAAACCCGATAATAGCGTCGGTCCTAAACCCTTATTATAGAACCCTTAAAGGAGCCCTCAAACCCTAACTTCTTGTAGGACGCCCGAAGTACGGAACCCCCGTCCGGAACCCGGTTGAAGACCCCAGGCTCTAGACCAGTCCTTAACCCCAAGCCCTAAAGCTCAAACCCTAGTAGAACACTCACCCAAACCCCAAAACCCAACCCTAAAACCTTGAACCCTGAACCCCTAGACCTTATCCTATACCCCCCATAGAACCATAATGAATATGGTTTTTTTAATATTCTCTTGGGCTTTTTATGAACAAAAAATAAAAATGATTCCTAAGGAGACTCTACTTGGAGGCTCATGGGACTTGGTAAGTAAGGTTATAAGTAGGTTATACTTAGGATAACCCCACTTAGGGGACTTATAACCCCACTTATAACCTACTTACTAAGTCCCATGATCCTCCAAGTAGACCCTAAACCCTAATCCCTATAAGGAACCCTATAGATCCCTTTAAGCAGCCCTTTAAGAACCCTTACTAAGTCCCATGATCCTCCAAGTAGTTTCGGAACCCTTGAAGCCGACGGTTTGCCTTTCTTCTGCTCACCCTCAGGCTGCTCTTGCTCCTCCGCGGCTTCCTCCTCTTCCGGCTCCTGGGTGAATAAAGCAGGGTTTCAGGGTCCTTGGGGCTTAGAGTTCAGAGTCTTAGTTCGGCGGGGTTTAGGATTCTTGGGATTTTGATGGATTACGGCGCAGGGTTTTGGGCTTTGGTGCTTCAGGGGGCTTTTGTTTCCTGCTCCTCCGGCTCGCGGGGGGTTTAAGGGCTCTTCCTTGGTACAAGGGTCGGGTTAGAACAACGGTTCTACAATAGTATAATGGCTGCTGTCAAGCATGTAAACCCTAAACCTAAACCCTGCTCAGGGGTGTAGGGTATTTGGGTTCAGGGTTGGTGCACCAGAACAGAAGGCATCTTGTCGTAAGCTCACCACCACTGAAAGGAATGAGACTGGCGCGGTCGAAAGAAAAGCTGAACGATGTGGGTGGGCTCGAAAATTGTAGGGGCTCTTGCCTACTGACTGAAGTCTGATCCCAAAGCTGCTACCGTAGGTTCTGTATAGCCGTCCCATAGCCGTCCCTTAACACATGATCGCACTACTTCGTAAAGTTCTGATTTGAAGAAGCTTCGATTTTACACGGTAAAGGAGGAGGGACGAGGGCAGGGTTCCGAAGAGGTGAGGAATGTTAGTGCGATTCGAAATGAAGTAGGGTGTGTATTGGATTGGGGGGGTTCTGGGAAACATAGGTGTGCACATGTTGGGTGGTTCTCGACATACTGATTAAGGTCCAAGGTTCGGAAGATAGCTATCAACCATGGGACAATCCATACTCAAAACATTTCGCAGCACATGATTTCAAGCTTTTATCTCTTGCCTCCCCAAAAACCCAAGTGTACACTCACCAATATTCCGAAGGAGTCGAGCTTCAAAGATAGAATTCTCAACGCTAAACCAAGAAGATCAGAATGGCCTCGTTTTGCTCGCCGCCACCGAAGAGGTCAATCCCGTCGTCGCTATCAGACTGCGCCCCGCACTCCGTTGCTTTCGTGGCCGATTTACTTATTTGGGGTTTATGTATGGGCTGACAAGTAGAGGGTCTTCCAGAGTTTGCTAAGAGTTTGCTTAGTCTTTATCGTGCTCAATATATGGGCCTGAATAACTAGAGCGAGGGGTGTAGGGAGCGTAGGGTTTTGTATTGGGAACAAACGTTAACGTGGCGGCTGGTGGTAAACCGAAAGGGTTGAAGGTAGTGGGACACCTTACTAACAACTTACTACACTAACACCGCTCATGGAGCTGCAGTTAACACAAGACAATCGATCAAACCTCAAAGTGTTCTGCAGATTGTTGACTCGTTGACTCTCCAAGGGTAGAAGGAGGGACCCTTAATGAGGACCCCTAGGTATATACCCTTAATATAGCTATTATATACCCATTAGAAAGCCAATTATAGGGTAGGGGTCCCCATTAAGGGTCCCTCCTTTTCCCGTTTGATTAAACTAAACCCTAAACCCTAAACCCTATAGATCCCTTTAAAGGGACCCTTATAGATCCCTTTAAAGGAACCCTAAGAGCCTAAGGGTCCCTCCTTTTCCCCTTTGCATGGCAAGGCCTCGACTCCTAAGCAGGAACAGGTGTCAATGCAAGTGCCCAGAGACTCCAATATGCCTTAATTAAGGAATATTCCTAGGGTTCCTTTGAGGGTTCCTTTAAAGAGATCTAGAGGGTTTAGGGTTTAGGGGATTCTAATATGCCTTAATTTAGGAATATATCTTAAATCATGTTAGGGATCCTACTATAATTTAAGGTATATTCCCTAATTAAAGGATATTGGAGTCTCTGGGTGTCGGCGACAGGCTTCACAGGGCAAGGAACGAGGACGCAACTTGCCCAACAGCCAAGCTTGACCACAGTCTGTCACACGGCCTTCGTTTGGGCTCAATATGTACAAGAAAGGTTATATGAGGGTCTGTGGCTAGAGGATTATGCCAACAACACAGCAGGTGCATGTGGCTAACCTCCCCATAAGAGCACGGACAGTGACAGTATGTAACGGTTATAAGTTAAGAAAACAAAGAATTATACAAGCCTCATTAGAAGAATCAAGACCGGATCGACACACACAAATCATCATCAATCCCCATCATCTTCGTCACATCCCTTCCATGGAAGTAGAGGCATCAACAGCAACAAGCGCGGCATGATCGCAACCATCACTGTAACAAGCATTGTCAACATTTCTCTCGGGATATTCAGGAGGATACTCCGGCACGGGAACTTTGCCTGCGCCTGTTGTGGCCTCAGCAATTGCATAACCTAGACCTCAGAGTAACCCATGAATAAAAAGGGTGCCATTTTTATTTTAAAGGGGGTTATAAGGGAACCTAAACCCTAAAAAAGGGAATAAGGGCCTACCTAGTAACATAGGAAAGCCACGCCCGGCCGATCTTAACATCGAGCCCTGATGCCGGCGCACCCTCTTGCTGGCCATTTTGGCTTTGGCTTTCTCCTTCTTCTCCTTCTTCCTTAGGGACGCTGGCGCACTTCAAGGATTCGGGCTTTGGGCCAAGGGCTTCAGGTACTACTGTAGAAGAGCTACCCGGAAAAAGAAAAGGGCTACTCAATGAGGGGTTACCACAAGGGCTACTGAAAAGGTTACCGTGTTTCCTAAGGGTTGCCAGAAACATCATCGTAATCTTGGCATTGCCACCAGACTTGAATGTCTAGGCAAATAAGCTTAAGCCCGAAAATCATGAATCTTCATTTGGAAACCCTATACCTAAACCATAAGTCGTAAAGCCAAACCCTCAAAGCCCAAGCCTTAAAACGTGAACCCTTGACCAGAAACCCCCAACTCAAACCTTAAATCTTCAGCACCTCAAGCTGAACCCAAAAAAACCTCAGAGCCTTCAGCGCAAAGCTTCAATGGCTTTAACCCCAAACCCTCAATTTTAGGGTTAGGGACCCCTGACCCGAAAGCCTCAACCTGAAATCTCAAACCTGGAACACTATAAACCTTAGGTGCGGCCCCCCCCTCAGTAATAGTTGAATACTATTCATAATAAAGACATATTAGGACCTTAATAGTAGCCCTATTATAGACTCTTTCTGAGTTACTGTATGGGGGCCGTACCCAATATAAACCCGACGACCCGAACAAGCCTGACTAACGAGCGCCAAGCTGGTAAGAACAAGACGAAACAACCACTAAATCTTATAGGATCCTTAAGGGAGGATGGTTCAAGGGGGGAGGGTATAAGGATTCTTTAGGGGACTGTAAGGGAACCTTAGGGAGTACTAGGGAGAATTAGGGATCACTAGGCTATATACCCCCCTTGGACCCCCCTCCCTTAAGGATACTACAAAAATCCGCCCCTTCCAAAAACAAAGTCAACCAACCTCCAAATCAAACAGCAAACACATGAAGGCCCCGCCACCAACAATATTTCAAACGTTAAACCGCCCTTTTTAAACAAAACAAGAACAAACTATGTAACTACGGCTCATGATATAAATCCTGCATGACTCATACATAATAAGGAATATACCATAATTCCCACAGTTTCGGGTCCTTAAGGTAATGCAGGGTTTATATCCTCAACCCTAAACCCTAAAGCCCTATAGACCCCTTAAAGGAACCCCTTAAAGCTACCCTTATAGATCCCTTTACATCAACCCCTAAACCCTAAACCCCTAAACGTATATAACCCTCCGAGGTTCGCTTCCTCGCTCTGCGTTTCTGGAATCTCCTCTTCCGGCTGCTTCGAGAGGTCCTTGGAAAGTCTGTGGCTCAAAGGCCCCAAAGTAGTTCCTTTTTGGGGTTCGCATATAAAATCCTATAAGGTAATCCCAGAGGTCCTTGATATAGGGACCCCAAAGGCACAGAAGCATTTTATAGGGATATCCCTACCTTATTGGCTTCCTTATAAGGGGGTTTACATGGGATATCCCTATTAGGAGGCCATATGATAACTCTGTAGCTCAAAAGCACAGAAGAATCGGAGACTTAGGGTTGTCGGGTTCTGGGTTTGCGCAACGGGAGAATTGCAGACTTGAGTTTAGGGCTCGGGTCTAAGGAATCCGGGAATTGGAAACTTAGAGTTGTCGATTAAGGTTTCGGGTTCAGGGTCTAGGGCGTTTGGGAATTGGGAACTATAGGGTCAGAGTTTGAAGTTAAGATCTGGGTTTCGGGCTAAGGCCAAGGGTTCAGTTTTTTTCGAGTCTTTGTTTAGGCCTCAGGGATTAGGACCTCAATATAGTTCATTTGGAAGGTTTTATACAGATGTAACTATGTGTGGTATAGTTTCTTCAAAGCTAATAAACCATTCTTACTACGCCCCCTTGCTCCTTCAGGTGAGATTACGGGAACCTGGTCGGCTGCTGTTCTGCCATACACCGCTGGGCTGTGTGAGTGTCGAACCCCATGAACCGTTTGAGCTGGCAGGGTTTCTAATGGTTGTGCGAAAGTCTAGAGAGTCTAGGCTTTGCACCATGTCTGGCTTTCCAAAGTGAAAAGCACCGCAAGCTTTGGGAGTCTTGTGTAGAGAAAGCCTGCGTGGCGTTGCGCTCACAACACATTAGGCCGCAGGCTGGCATGAATTGCGGGTTTAAGACTCGAGACTGTTGGGTGTACGGTTGAGTGTCTCTAAACTCTAAACCCTCAACTCATAAACACTTAGTCATTGAGTGAGGGTACGAGACCCAGGGTTTTGAAAATTCCTGGTAGCGGCTTTTAAAGCTTTTGGCTTCACTAAAAGGATGAGGGGAATAAACAAGTAGAGCTAGTAGTATCTGAATTGGGATACAACTGGAGGTACCTAAAAGATGCCCTCTAACCCCTACTTACTAAAGGCCCGCCCCGCTGAAGCGTATGATCCCCAGGCCCTCAGACGATCTGTGTTCGTGTCAGATCTGAACCCTATAGCCTATAGTCGCCATTGTAGTTCCTTTTTGGGGCTACCTTTTGGGATCTTTAATAGAAAAGTAGTTAAACCAAAAAAAGGAACTACAATGGAGACTATAAAGCACGAAACCCTCTGCGCTGAATCCCTGAATTTCGACGCGCAAACCTCTTAGGGCCAGGTGGCGACTTTGCGCGCAGTCCGCCCTTCGATCACAGCCATTCGCGTGAGGATGGTCTTGCCAGCCTTCTCCTGTGGTGTTTGGCGTAAACCCTACGGGAAAACACCCTCTTCCAGGGCCGTGATACTAGAACCCGAACCCCTATCATGCTATAAGCGCTGCAAAGGGCCAGGAGTCTTTTAACAACCAGATCAGCAGTCCTTGTTAGGGCTTAAGGCTTGAATTTCAGCTTTGCTGGGCGGGACCGCTCTGGTTTCCGGGGTTGAGTACGCCGCATCTCTATTAAGGCATCTGGGATGTGCCGAAAATCAGAACCTCGGAGCCTAGCACAACCCTGGTGATCTACATACCGCATTGCTAGGGAAGAATTCCTTAAATCAAAATAGTTCATCAATTAGGGTGTTTCAGGTACGCTCCGCAGTTGAAGGCCAATAAAATATGGCTTGGGGCTACAGTCAGGGTATAAAACTTATATTACCATATAGGACTGCAAGGGGATCTCATTACAACTTACTCAACCGTTTTTGCTGGCCTTTTAGATCCCGAGCCTGTGATAGAAGAGACCTTATAAAACTCCTGCAGAAACAGAAACCCTGTAGAAACCTGTATTTCACTGAAGGCCCCTTATACAACCTCAAAATGCTAGGCCTAAGAGTAACCTAGGAATAAAAGGGTGCCCTTTTTGGGTTAAAGAGGGTTATAAGAGAACCTAAACCCTAAAAAAGGGAATAAGGGCCTACTCTGGGTCCTAGAATGGCATGTCCGGGCCTCCATGACAGCCAACCCTATGATCGGCTGCGTTCGTCCCAGCCGGACCACCCGGAACTCGGCGTAAGCGCTGCCTGCGAGGGCCCAAGTTCGGCGCTCACACTCGGACAATCCAGGCGCAGCATATGGTTCGAGGTCTGCTAATGGTTTGTCAAACATGCTACTGTGAGGATTTGGAGTGTTTTGGGGCTTAGCGTTTAGGTTTAGGGCTTTAGGGTATATGCTTAAACCCTAGCCTGAACCCCAAAGCCCTAACATGCTTTGGGGTTTGCTTTTCTTAGGGTTTTGAGCTTTTTCGTTCAGCTCTCGATAGCTCATAGCTTTACATCTCGGCTTTGGGGTTTAGGCTTTAATTAGGACTTAGGGTTTAGGTTCAATTTTGGCCTGAAGACGTAACAGCCCTCAAACCCGAACCCCCACACTCCTTCAGGAAGAGTTTCGCACTGCTTGTTTTCATACTCCCCCTGAGAGTGCCGAAAAAGGTATCCGAATCTTCAGCAGCCCGAACAAGCTGTGGCTAGGTGTCGACTTCGAAAGTCCCCAAAACTATTTATGACCAAGGCTCTCTATTAAGCAAGAAAGGAAATTAAAGGTTATCCCAAATCGACACCTGGACGAGGGGTAGACTCAAAGTATGTGAGAGTTGCGAAGGCTCAATCTTGCAGACGGGAGCTCCAGAAGGGAGAAAGGGTTTAGGGATGAGGGTAGAACCCGGTGTCAGGATAGTCAGCCCCTTGTTGAGGGTTCGGGGATTATGGTGCTGGATGCAGATCTGCATGCGTTGAGGTTTCTCCTCTTGCGGAGCCCAAAACTCTGGCGGAAATATGCCAAAGAAAGCTGACCTGCGCCTGTAGGGCTATGCTTCACCTGTGCAGCATAGCAGTATTGGACCTAGTAACCAAATAAGAGCCTCTCAATTGTGACTGCCTACCTTGCGAAAGTGAGCAACTGCAAGACTGCACAGGCCTTGAGTGATCGGGAAGCGAGTGAAGGAGATGCCTTCGAACTCGTCTCCTCATTTGGAAGGACCGATGGTCCCAGTTTGGTCGAGGTTGTACTTGCCTTCGATAACTTCACGGTCAGCTGATGCTTGGATTCAAGGCTCCCTTGACACCCGAAATCTGCAAAGCCTCAACGTCGGCAACTCACGTACACGGTTTCAATAGCTCTATCCCGTGGAGCCGCTTATCACTGCTACTACTGCGACGACGACTAGTACTACTGCTAGTGCTACTGCTACGGCTACCGCTACCGGTAGCCACCGGTAAAGGGCTACCTCTACTTTGACTGCTGCTGCCACTGCCACTGCCACTGCCACTGCTACTGCTACTACGACTCCTCTTATTCCTAATTCCACTCCTAGTAGTACACCTAATCCTGCTACTATATGAACCCAAGCCCGGAAAACGAAACTCAATTGAGTTTCGTCACTCTCTGAATCCGAACCCTGGGCCCTAAATCCTAACCGAGCGACCAAGTGGGTTGAAGATCCTGGAGTCGTCATGCAACGCGAAAGCCGGAACCAAAGCTTTCTCCTGCAGGGCATTTCTTTAGGGTTTACGGTTTCGGGCTTGGGGCGTCTCCCTCTTCTTCTTCTTCTCAATGGTTCTGCTTACTTTTTATGATGATCTGGTGGTGATGATGATGCTGCTGCTGCTGAGTGTTACCATTATTGCTGTTCTTGTTATTACCAGCGCTATTTTCATGCTTAGGATGGTCGTATCTGTGATCGCTATGATAGCTAGTACGACTATGATTGCTACACTCCTCCAAGACCTGTATAGCCAAAACTCCACTATACTCCCCTGAAGCCCGCCCTAAGCCCCAAACCCTGAACCGCAACAAAAACTTTCCTAATCCCGGAGCCCTTTAGCCCGAAAGCACACCCCCCAGAGTTTAGGGTTTGGGGCTTAGGGTTTAGGGGGTTTCGGGCTCATGTTTTAGGGCTTGAGGCTTACGGTTTAGGGCTTGAGGGCACCCTCCTGGTACCACCAGGTTCCGCCGCCCGGGCCCTTCACGTTCACGGGCTGGTCCGACCCAGGGTTCTCCTGCAACGTCTCCCTTTAACGGCTCTGGTCGTTTAGGATTTTAGAGCTTCGGGTTTTAGGGTTCAGGCTTAAAGGCTCTGAGGGTTCAGGGTTTTGGCGCTCGCACTCAGGGTTTAGGATTTAGGGTGAAAGGCTCTGAGGGTTTAGGGCTTTAAAGCTTCAGGGATTAGGGTTCAGGGTTTATGGCTCTAAGATTCTGTGGGTTTAGTGTTTTTTAGGGCTTAGGGTCGAGGGCCTTGGGATAAGGGCTCTAAAGGTTTAGGATCCTTCTTTCCAAGGGTAAAAGGAGGGACCCTTAATAAGGACCCCTAACTATATACCCTTAATATAGCTATTACCTATTATATAACCCTTCGTATAGCCCATTCTAGGGTAGGGGTCCGCATTAAGGGTCCCTCCTTTTCCCCTTTGATTCTTCAAGGGCCGAAACGGCTCGGGTATCTGTCTTCCAGCGACTCAAGGGTTCTCCTCGGCCTTTTAAGGTATTGGGAGCTTGTTTTGTGAGGAGCTCTACAGGGGTTTCTTTCCGGAGTCGGTGGCATTCCTTTGTTGCAAAGGGGTTTAGGATTAGCTCTAAGGGTTCTGTTCGGTGTCGGTGTGATTTCTTCTTTTTTGCAAAGGGGTTTAGGGTTAGCTCTAAGGGTTCTGTTCCGTGTCGGTGTCCCTTCTTCCTTTGTTGCAAAAGGGTTTAGGGTTCAGAGTGTCTTTCCTAGTGTTAAGGCTCCAAGGAATTGGGTGCTGCTTCGTACGGAATTCAACAGTTCAAAGGGGGCCGGGACCAAGTTTTGATCGGACGTCATCTTCCTGGTTAAAAACTCAAAGCGCTTGGGGGAGTAGGTGCAATTGAGTATGGTGGCTTTGTTGTTGAATTACATGTACCAGACCATAGAGCTGCAGTGAATAGTATTCCTTGGTGCGGAAACTTCGCAACCAAGCAGAGACCCTCAAACTCCAAATCCCTTCCCCTTCTCTCCCCGACCCTAGACCCTAAACCCTTTAAAACCCGAAACTCTCAACCCTAACGCCTATAACCCTAAACCCGATAAGCCTAAACTCTCAACCCAAAGCCCTAACCTCAACCCTAAACCCTATAAACCCTCAGCCCTGTAAATCTCAAAGCCCTATAAACCGCTAAGCCCTAAACCCTATAACCTATAAGCCGTAAACCCTAAACCCTATAAGGGCTATACTCAAAATAAGCCCCAAGCCCTATAAACCCTAAACCCTATAAACCCGTAAAGCCACCCTCCCAACCCCAAAATCTCCTGAATGATCTCGCCAACTTGCCCTTCTTTCCTGGTCGGGCTTGGGCTTAGGGCAAGGTTAGGGTTTAGTCCCCGTGTAGTTTAGGGTTTAGGGTTTATGGGCAAGTTTAGGGTTTAGTGTCCCGTGCAGTTTTTGTGGAGCGATCCAACTCCTTGGGTGGTGTTCAGAACTTCAGCTGTCGTTTTTGGGCATGATGTCGGATCTACTTCAGGGTCCAGTGGTTTGATGAAACTCCCGTTCCAAACAATTTAGCTTAGGGCTCAGGGTCCATGTGATAAGGTCGCGGAGCAGTATCCTCTCCTCTCTCCCATCATTCTCCAGGTTGCATCAACGTCTTAGTCCTGTCTTGGCCATCATTCCAGGAAGAAATGAAGTGAACCTTGACAAACACACACACACACACACAAACAGACAATAAACGCCACTTGCTTTAGCATACCTTACACTACCCTTAAACCTGAAGCCCCACAAGTAAAAGCCACGTTGTGCAATTGGATGCCTTCAAAATCCTTCAAACATACGCAATCCAAGTTTTTGTGCAATGTGAGGGCCGCTGCGCGCGATTTTTCCCGGAGCCGTATCATCCCACGTAGCCCAAAAGACCTAAACCCAAACCCCCTTAGACCCCAAACCCCAAAACTAAACTGGCCCACAACCACATAGCCATAAACACCAAACCCTTAACTGGCCCTAAGCCCTACAGAAACCCCAAACCCTTAATCCTAGAGCCGGAAATTCCAGCCCCTACACCAACTCCCGGAACCCTGACAAAGGGTCAGAATAGGGTCTGGCTTTCAGGAATACGACAACAACTGTTCAGGGGCACATTTTGCTTTGCCGCTTGCAGAATTCAAACCTTTAAGTTTGCTGGCCAGTGGCAGAGGTCCGAACCTCAGGCGAGCGAAAGGACCCGACACTTTGTAAGCTGTATGGCTTACATTCCACGGGTTTGAGTGCATTTTGTAGGGGTCTGCGGCTTCAGTATTCAGGGCGTTCGTGATGACTTGTGTGTGTTCTTTGGGTTCTTGGCTCAGAGCTTGGGGTTCAGAGCTGATCATCCGAGGTGAAGGGTGAAGTATCGATGTCCTGATTCGGCGTGCGGGCCTCTACTTGCAGGATCAACAAGGGACTTCGCAAGTAGTATTTAAGAACATTGCACTTTGCAACAACTTCGAAACTCAAAACCGCCAGCTCTATTTGCAGCATATAGTGGGTCGCTTGGTGCAACTAGTGATGCTAGAAGTACCGGGCACCCTTGGCACGAATAACCCGGCACAAGCACACTCGTTTGGGAAGGAGTTTACAAAGGCATGCTGTTCGACAGCCTGACTCCGCGACAGCGCAGGAGAACCAATATTGAGCTTCACAAATCCCTGTGTGTCGGGTGTAGAATCTTTGGAATGAGCCCTAACCCCTACAGCCTAAATTCTAAATCCTGCCCTAAATCCTGCATCCCAACCAGCCCTTTGTAGAGCTCTCGCAGTGACTGGAAGAAAATGCTTCGAGCGGCGGCGCATCGCTGCAGCTCTTGTAGACCTTTGACCTTGGACCAGGCCCTGCATTTCATAAGTCTAAAAGCCAGTGCCCAGATTACAATCAGAGGCCCAATCTGAGGTGAAACGGCTAACGGAAGCAACGTAAAGGCCTCAATTGGGTTCGGGGCATAATTCGGTAAAATCTAGCATGATTAAGAAGGGACTCTAAGTGTCCGAGCCATTCAAGCCCAGGTGTGACGTGTGCGTTTTTGAGAACTGATTAGAGGCTCACGGTACCTGTCACCCCAGTTGTAACGATGTTGATAAATCAGGTCTGACCTGGGTAGGGCAGGCGTTAACGGTTTCACCGTGCCTCGGGTTCTTGTTTGAATACAGCTCTACATAGGTTACAGGCACCTGGAACCTCCCAGGTAGGCCCTGAACCTACATAAACCATGATAAACTCCTAAAAACCCTATAAGCCACGACAAAACCTTAAAGAAACCTCTGTTAAACACATCCCGCCCCAATAAACCCAACATCCTAGACCCCTAGACCCTAAAGCTTTTGCAAGTAAATCACGCACAAACCACGGAAAACCTCAAAAGACACCCTTGCAGTAAACTCATGCAGGACCTAGGCGCAGCTTCACCGAAATCTGTTCAACACATAGACCCTAAGACCCTAAAACCTTTAACTGCAATCCTGCAGTAGCCCTCAACCCTGGACCCAAAAATCCTAAACTGAAATCCTGCAAGACCAAGGTGCAGCTTCACCTTCATCCCTTTCTTCAAGCGCCCGGCTGTCTGGCCAGGGAGTCGAGCTTCGGTTTGGAGGGTTTAAGGGGGGTTTAAGGTGCTTTAGAGATAGGCTTTCGGTCACGGGGCAATCCAGAAGTGGATCACTTGTGGATGAGCTACCTAAAGAACGACTTGATGGCTCAAAGCTTAGGGTTTTAAGCTGCGGTTTAGGGCTTAGGACTGGGACGTTGGGTTTAGGGTGTGGGGTATGGGGTTTAAGTGGTGTACCGGCTGGAATTCCGGGCTTGCGAGTCAAATCAGTCAAACACAGCAGGAAGATGTAAAGTCAGTTGATGCACACTGTAAAGGCACTCAACCCAGTGCAGACCCCTTGTAAAGCTTGGGCAACCTCGAAACAACTAGTATCAGCAAGTCGCCGGGCACCTAGATTAAGGGATGTCGAACCTTACAAATCTCTGTAAGTGCCTTTTTCACCCGAACCCAACTTACTAGAAACCCTCGTAACACCCTATGGGACCTTGTCCATTCCTAGATGTAGAGCCCTATGGAACACCCTACGAAAACGCTACAAAACGCCTTGGCCCAAGTCCCCTTCTCAAGCCCTATGAACAATAAAAAAATATATATATATATATATATATATATATATATATATATACAACCGAAAGCCGTGATGCATCATCTGATCTCCACACCCTAAATCCGCAACCACCGCACCCGCCTTGGCGTCCGGGGGCGCGGTGCGGATTTCACAGCGCTTGGCTTCCCACTCGGCACCAGAGTCGACCTCAGATTGTGAAAAGCGAATATTTTTTTGGACGGGCCACTTTGAGGTTGTTACAACTGTTTTGGTTTAGAAAGCTGACTTTAGTATCTTTTAAGGCTCGCAAAGCTTCAGGGCATTTAGGGCTTTAGGATTTACCTCAGCCCTAAATTATGTTTGGGTTTTAGGTTAGGGCTTACGTGGCGGAGAGCCTTCAAGTATTGCTGCTCGTGTCTGTGTTGTCAGGAATATTTGTAAATCTTGTCTGGTTCTTACTTCGTTTCAGCATCTTTCTGAAGATGCCTAACTTTTTATACTTCTGGTCTCTGCTACCGCAGCATCTCATAATATGCGAAGTCTTTGCGAAAAAGGTGGTGCCGATAACGGAATTATGTTAATGACGACGACTGGTGAACGTCTTTCGGGTCTGCAAGGTCGGGACGGGGCCCGACATGTAGCAAAGGGGCTCCAATAGCTAGAATAGTATAGGGTTTTGCCAGTACACTCACATCTGGAACCTAATCAAGGGATAAGCAGAACCCAGGCTTCGTTCTCAGGGACCTGCATACGAAACGCACGGGTTCCTATTGGCGTTCTTCTACGGATCGAAGTATTTCGGGGATGTAAGGAGTACCTTATTTTGCGGTCCTTATAGTGAGGACCCTACTATCTAGGGTACTATTTAATTGGGGTCCCTATTTTAACTAACCCATGAGGCTCCAACATCATCTGCGCAAACTGTCAAAGCTAAGGCTTCAACGGGGCCTGAAGGGTTGACGATCCGCCAAGATTATACGTGCCATTTCCAGCCAATCAACATGTCTACTTTGCAATGGGATCTGCTGTTTGAAGCAGCAAGGCACATGGGGGCAGCGCTTTTCTTGAGTCGAAGGCTCACGAATGCTGAGCTCAGCATGAAAACCAGCTCTGGCGCCGGAGCGCGGAGCTGATCGGAAAGCGCTTACCAGACACAGAAGGCCGTGTCAGGTGCTCTGAACAGCAACCTAGAGACCGGTTTCGGGCTCTAGAAAACTCAATCTGGAGATCTGCGAGGAGCCTCTCAATTTCCACCCATTTTAGTGTACCTATCGAGCCGTACAGAAGCTCAACAAGTCCGTTTCCCTCAACATCATTCTCCATGAAGCTCCTAGAAACAAGGTCAGGGTGAGGCCCTGACCTCAAGGAACTGCAAGCCCTTGCATCCATGAATTTGTTGTCAAGCGCTGGAAATAGTGAAGAGGGCTTTGGCGTGTACTATACTAGAATATATAATAAAAGGACTACATGGGGATACTGCTCTCTTCTGTTGCAACTCCTATTTAATTAGATCAAGGATATAAGGGTCCTTTCATTCCGAAGGCCCAGGTGTGAGTACGAGCGGATGACACAGTCCCTTACCGAAGCTGGCGATCTACGCATTCCCGATGGACCTTTGACCCAAAACCCTCAAGGAGGCTCGCCACTCACTCCTTGTCGGCCAGCTTCTGATCCTCGACGGTGATGGGCGGACTTGGTGCCACGCAAGACTCACGGCTCTTTCGGCGTGGGAAGATGATTCCCGGCGGAAGGTCGGCTTTGGGCATGTCCATCTGGGAGACGGGAGTCATGGGGGGCACAATGCCGGGAGGGAGGTCTGGAGGGGAGGGGGATGTTAAAGGCTACTACTCAGCTGCTAGGTTGCTGATGTTGATGATGCTGAGCAGAAGCGTCACCAGCCTCGACACGAAGCCACTTAGGCTAGTCGCCTGGAAAAGGCAAAGATATGTAAGGCACATGGACATGGGTGCCCCCTCTCGCTCCGCAAGGCCAATATCAGCTCATTGGTCGGAATGCCCTTCTTGAGGGAGCATGCAAACGCAGCAGCCACTTCGACCTGCTGCACTTTGCCTTTAAGGCAATCCAAGGCCATGGGTACAGCAATGATCAACGCTTGGGCTACTCCGAATTGCCATTGCTGCGCCAGGAGCAGTTCAACCAATGTGTAATAGTCCGACAAGTAGTCTGCAAGGAAGAGGCCAAATTCACGGTACAGATCAACCTTTTGTTTCGTACTAGCCTTGAAGGTTCCCTTCGCGATGTCACGTCGGACCTTCTCTGCTTCCTGTTCCAAGCTCCGCAGCATGTCTTCGTCACAAGGCGCGGCCCAAAGATGTCCAAGGCTTGGCTTTGGCAACGCCATGCTCACAACGGCTCTTAGAGCTAGCGCCACGACAGGGCACAAAAGCAGCAAACTGGCAATCGCAAACCATCCTTCCAGGCGCCCCTCGGGAGCCGGCCAGCCGTCTGACCTGGCAGTGTGGGCCAGTGCGCATCGAGCCAGCACGACTGACAAGGCATTCGACGACGTCCAAGATGCCTGCTGCTCGTGGAATCGGTGCCAGTTCGGGTCGCCCTCGTGTGCGATTTGTATGAAATCGCTCACGAGCTGGAAACTGACAGCACCATTGCTGCAGATGTTTCGCTGCCATTCTGGTAGCCGCGAAAGCCGGCAGGCCAAGCAGCGACAACATCCCAACTGACAGCCGTAACATTGCAACGAATATTCAGTGATTGACAGAAACGTGTTTAATTCTGTTGTTGGTCCGCAGTCACCATCGAAACCACTGCAAAAGTCTCTGCAGCTGCCACCCGGCCCTACTGCTTGCTCGAAATTTCGGAGTGTGTCAAGCTCCTGTTTCATACTAGTGGAGGCATAGAAGTGAAAACATTGACCAGCCATGTGCTCTGCTCCACAGCGAAGATGCTCCCCTAACACGTATTCGGGGCAGTACCTCCAGACGTGGTGGGAGAAGAGCGACCGTGCGTTGGCATCCAGCCAAAAGCAGGCCAGGCATGCCACCTGGAGCAAAACTCCGCAGAGAACGAACCTGCCTGCCGGTGCCTGGCATCGTCAGAATCCCAGCCTTGAATGGGATGCCGGCCAAAACAAGACCAAAGGTTCTGTTGAGAGCCTTGACATTGACATCTTTTCTTTGATGGCAGCATTGGCAAAAAGCAGTACCAGCGGGATAGCCACAAAGACCGTGTTGGTTAGCAGGCCGACCTGAAGGAAGGCAAATATGCTTGCAACTTCGAGCACGACCAGGAGCCTCGGTCCAAACGCTTTACTTGTGACCCACAAACAGACACTCGCAGAAAAAAAACAGCTCTACTTCAACTTCAATGGTGGGCTGGACATGTTCTCTGGGCGCAAACCGCGCGTTCCTTCACAAGCAACAAGCGAACGTGGCCGACAAGATGACAGCAGTTCATGCATCCAGGCCGCCAAATGCCCCAGGCAAGCATGGAGCTACCGGCCTTTTCCGCCGCTGTCTGCCGCCAGGCGTAGAGGGCGTATTTCGGCAGGGCCATGACACATCGGCGTGTTGAACACCCCCGCAGTGTGAGCTGTCGAAACAATTATCTGGGCACTCCCGATCTTGAGGCAAAACGCCGGCAATATCCAAGATTCTCGCCTGATAGACCCACCCTGATGCACCTCATGCGCAGACCGAATGGTGCAAGGAATTTGCTGAAACCCGTGCCCGCCATAAGCCTCAAACCCAAACCCAAAGTCACCTGCGGCTTCAGCGTGTTGTGCACCGCCGCACGGCCGATGTGCCGCGCTCGCCAGCGGCCCGAGCCCGACTCGCCTTCCTGAGGTGGGGCACAAGTACTACTATTATAATTACTATCTAATGTTTCTGAACTTTCCAACTAATTAGCAATGGGCATGTAGTATTTGGTGTTCAGTAGTGAATATCCGCATTAGAACTAGTAACAGTATGTCTGTGTTGGATTGTGTTGGCAGCATTCATTAGCAGTTAGTATAGGTTTAAGCTTGAGGGTTGAAGGTTTAAACGGTTTCGAAGATGTTTTGGGCTTTAGGTATCTTACTGAACCCTAGGCCCTAGATCTAAACCCTCAGCCGTCACGATTTCTCCCCACATCTGTGTTTAGGAATATACGGGCTGCGGGGTACTGGAGGAACCTTCAAGGCTTCATGGCGTTGGTGCTTAAGGCTTCAGAGTTTAGGGGTTTAGGGTCTAGAGATGTCTAGAGTTGAGGGTTTAGTGTCTAGTTTAGGCTTCGGTGTTGCCTCCGGCCTGGCCAGGGCGAACCTACAATGCATGGTATACGGCGGGGATTGGGGCTTCTGGTTTAGAACTTCGAGGTTTAGGGTTCCAAAGAAGACACAAGAACTTCGTATGTACATGGGAGGGACCCCCCCTGCCAAGGGCAGCAAGTCCGATTTCTACGCAAACCTACAGTTTCATTCGGATTCGTTGTCGAAGGCCCAGCCGGGATCCTGATCATCCCAGGGGTTAACTCTGATTTTACCCTAACTAAACCTTGCCCCGGCCGAAAGCTCTGACAACTGATGTAGAGGCTTGACCCCAATTGCCGGCCTTGCGCCAGGAGCCGCGAAGCCATCGGTCTGGGCCCAGCTCCCCTGTAAGAGTTTGGTTTTAGGGCTTGGACGTTGTGGCTTCAGGCTCGTGTTTTGTATACGGCTCTTGTGTGGCTTTGATGTTTGCTTGGTTTTTGGAGGGGATTGCGTAGGGCCCAAAATCTTCGCGAATTCTTCGGGGAGTAGGATGTTTCGGGCAGCTCAGCGTCCTTCGGTGAAAGCGTCGGTTGAGGTTTGCAGCAATTTAAAGGACTTTGCAAGTTAGTTCGTTGACTTGATACAGTCATAATGGGAACAACAACACCAACACGCACAAGACTAACAAAACATGTAACAGTACTGACTAATTGTACGAAAATGGCCATCATAATGCGAGAGAACACAAGTTTCTTCTTGACGCGGCATAACTTCTTGGAAATATAGCCCTATTCGGCGATTAACACGCCTATCAAAGCCTATCTAGTAAGAATCATGCTTACGAAGCAAGGGCCCCATAAAACCTTTCAAGAATAGTTATCAAGCTCCGAAGTTCTTTGGGCTGTTGAAGTGCCGCCTGGTTCGGCGCCAAGATCAAGCGTCGAACATGCTAGTGTAGCTTGCAAAAAAGCCAGTGTGTAAACCTGAAAATGCTCAAATACCTGAGCATTTGCAAGGCCGGAAAATGCCTCTTCAAACTGAACTTTTGCACCAAAAATAAATTCATTGTCATGTTGAGAGGACCCCAGACTCCGACAAAGTCCAGTCCCTAAATCCTCAAACCCTGCATCATCAAAACACTAAATTTTCCATAACCCTACATTATCTTGAAACTTTACAACCCAATGAGCCCTGGCCCCTACAGTAAACCCCATAAAGTTGGAAACCGGAGTAAGGCCAAATAGTGCTGGGATTCCCTATACAATACTTTTAACGATTGAGGCTTTGGGGTTTCCAACTTTTGGGCTTCTACTGCAAACCCCTAAATCCTGAACCCCACAAAAGGTGAAGCCCGCCTTCCCAAACGGAGCCCACCCAGTTCTTGGCGCTCAGGGCGTCTAATGCTTCGAGGTCGTCCTCCAACGCGGAGATGGTAAAGGACCTAAGCCGAAGAATTTGTGCTCAGGGTTTGATTAGGGTTTGGGGTTCAAGGTTTTATTCAGTCCCACTGAGTTTTACTGAATCACTGAAGGTACAAGGGGTTCGGCACTCACTCTCGGACATGCCAGGCGAGGTTCAACCGCATGGAGGTGAGACCCACGACAGAGATCAGTCGACGATTGCACGACGTATGTAAAACGCCGCTCATGCAACACGGCAGGAATCGACCAACTTCCATCGTTGCAAGTTGGCTGCGGAGCTGGATACTATGGGGCTCGAGTAACAGCTTCAATTCAGGTTCCGGGGTGCTACAGTGGCATGCTCAACATGCTGGCAGCAAGGGGTTAAGAGCCTGGGGTTTAGCTTGTAGGGCTTGGGGTTTTGGCGTTTTGAAAAGAATGGTGTTTTGGGGCTTGGGATTGAAGGAAAGTCCAAGAACCTGCTTCAGGGCAGGAAGCAGAGCGGGGTTGCACCGGGGCTCAAGAAACCAAAGGACAGGAGAGACTGCCCCTTGGTGAGGGCTTGAGGTCTTCATGGTGACTCACGAAAACACCCAGCGTGCTTTCACCTGTGGGCGGCTGAAGAGTATACTGTTACAAACTATGTGCTCCCCCTGGAGCTAGAAACCAGGCACCTTTTAGTGGCATCATATAGAGGCTATAAGGAGATACTGTTACAAACTGTCCGGACCCCTATAGTAGCCGAAGCACACCACACCTTTCCCACTCATCTCGCCAGAAATCTGCAGCGCCGGCGGCGCGTTTTCTGCCGAAGACCCCTCCTCGAGATCAGCAAGCTTCCCCACGCCAATCAAAGCAAGCATGGTTTGGGGTTTAGGGCTACACCCCCAAACCCTAAGCCCCTATACCCCGAGATCCCCAAGCCCTCTCTTTCTCTCTCAGGCGTTCACCCCGAAGCCCTAAAATGCCCTAAAGCCCCTAAAACCCTGAGGCCCTAAACCCTCGAGTCCTGAAGAAACACCAAGCCCAAACCCTAAACCCCTAAGCCATACACCAAAACCCCAAACCTCCAAGCCCCTAGACCCTCGAGTCCTGAAGAAGTGGCCCAGCCAGGGCAGATCCTTAGTGTGGAGCACTCGCAGTGTTTTTTTCCACGGTCATCCTACGGTTGATGATATAAATCCTGCATGACCCATAGTAAGGACTAGACCATTCTTCCCATAGTTTAGGGTCCTTAAGGCAGTGCAGGATTCATATCATCAACAGTAGGGCCTAGGGTTGTGGAGATTCTTAGATTTATGGTGTCTTAGGGAGATTCTGAGATTTATGGGGTCTTAGGGAGATTCTGAGATTTGTGGGGTCTTGGCGACTTGGCGCCTCGACGTTTCAGAGACTTTTGCTTAAGATTTGGTGTTTTCAGAAGTATAGGTGAAATAATGGCCCAATACCCATAAAAAAGGCCATTATTCTACGTACTTTTGGGGGATCCGGGTAGGATCTTGGGTGTCTTTTTTTTGGGTGCACTCGGACTTGGGCGAGCCTGGCAGGGATGAACCTGCAAGGCCCACACAATCGTTTCAACCCCCGCAGCCCTACTGTAGGGGCCTTAATTATCAGACTAGGGTTTGGGCGTATATTATTCTACTATTTGCTTAAGAACCACCCAAAAAATAAAAAAAAAATGATAATCCCTATATTATCCCTATAAGGAACATATTTTTTATTTTTGGGGGGTTCTTAAGCAAATTACTATAGCTATAATAAGGAGCCCGCAAAAGAGTAAAGGTAACTATTAAGGCCCTTATAGTACGCCAAACCTGCAAAGCGCGACCAAACCGCAAGAGACACAACTTCCCGCATCCAGCCGTAACCCTCAGCATCAAAGCGAGAACCCTACGCCTTCAGCGTAAACCGACAAACACCACCCTGTACTGGATCCTTCCAACAGGATGATACACCGACTACGCACCTAAAGCCCTTCACCCGATGTGTCTTCGTACACGGTTAGGAGGGGCCCCAAAAAGCACTCAAACAAGACCAACGGCTGGGACGTCCTGTCATAATTCCCTCCTCAAGTAAGCAGTGAAAGTAAGGACATGCCCACCCAATGGTTTATGATTGACAGTTTTTTGGCGAAGGGCTGCTTACGCGGCTACTATGAAGCCAGTGAGTCGCCAAAGAACCCTAAACCCCTAACAGAAAAACCCTAAACCCTAACCCCCCATCCAAAAAATACATATACATATACATATACATACATGATATATATATATATATAGGCAGATGCATACACCAAACCCTAAACTAGCCAAAGAAACCTAACCCCAAACCCTCGCAACTCTTTCGGCCGAAGGGCCCGACACGCGAATCATGGAGGTATTACCACCCGAGCTGGGAGGAAAACCTCAGGTTGGGGTCTAGACCTAAGAGTAACCTAGGAATAAAAAGGGTGCCCTTTTTGGCTTAAAGGGGGTTATAAGGGAACCTAAACCCTAAAAAAGGGAATAAGGGCCTACTCCGGGTCCTAGGGGTTTAGTGTTTAGGGGTTTAGGGTTTCTAGGGTTTGGGATTAGAGTCTGGGGTCTTCGGCTTGGGGTGTTTCGGGGTTTGTTTGTTTAAGGAAAAGGGCTAAGGGTAGATAGCAAAGTAGCTCCAGCTACGCCAACAAATCAGGTCTAATGTGCTATCACGAACTAGATGAGACTCGGGGGTTTAAGGGTGTATGCAAGGCGGGCACCGCTTTTCAAATGTCTTAGCGGTGCGACTTCTATAGTGTATAGAGCACTTTTGAACCCGGAGCCCTATCCAATCGAACCCCAAGAAACGTTCTCCGCCATTGCCAAACAGCGTCTGACATGGCCCACGGAACCGGTGTAGAGTTTAAGCTCCAAACACTGTAAGTGCTTCACAACGATGTGGGGCGAGGATCTGAAGCTGGAACACCACCTCGAACTCAAAACCTGAAGGCCCTTTACACCCAAAAAGCCCTAAGCCCTCGACCCGAAACCCTAAATCCTAAAGCGCTAAGGCAAACCCCTATAAGCTCCATGACTCCTTAAACCCCTATAAATCCTAGAAGTCCGAAGCCTTGAGTGGCAGCCAAGATGCAGGAGAACCAGCAGTTCCAAGCATGCTGCATGGAATCGGCGCCCGTTTGCAGCTCCAGATGCCTGAGGCTTCCGGTGTGGGGGTTGTGGGGTTTAGGAGTTAGAGCTTGAATTCTTTTGGGGTATGGGGGTTTTAGGTTCTAAGATCTTATTCCGATTTCGGGTTTTCGGGCTTATGATTGTAGAGCCAGTGTAGAGGGTTTAGGGCTTTATAGAGGCTACGTTGAGGGCCAATTTTAGGGTTCGAGTTTGCTTTTTGTAAGGCAGCTGCGCAGTGCTGCTTGTGAACACAACCCCAACCACTAAAGCCCTAATCCTAGCGTCTCAACCCTTTTGCACAGACTTGTGCATGCCCAATGGCTCTTAAAGGCCGTTGACGACATGACACAGCCCTTCACGCTAAACCCCCGCAACGGAGCTCTTCAAGGGACCTGACAGGAACCCTATATGGAACCCGATAAGGAACCTTTAAAGGACCCCTTCAAGGGCTCCTTAAAGGAGCCTTTCCAGGACTCCTTAAAGGAGCCCTTCAAGGATTCCTTAAAGGAGCCCTAAACCCTGAAAAGCTCTTAAAGGATCCTTTGCCCCTGGCGGCTGTCGAGATGCCAGAGCCCACCCAGGGCCAGGCCAGCCAAAGCCTTCGTCCCCGTCAGCGTCCCGGAAGATCCATCGGCCGTTCGCCACTCTCCTTGAGGGTTGCAGGTTGTGTTTTGGGACCTTTAAAGCTCCCATCTTGCTTCCTCGGCAAGGAGCGGGATGATTTTACACTGGATTGGAGTGGAGTCGCGGTATGCGGCGCTGCTGTTACAAGCCCCTACTACTACTTTTGGGACCTTTTAGGGTATTAGGGTTTAGGTTTAGAGTTTGGGGGTTTCGGGATCATAAGTTTTCAGAACGAAATCCTGCAACTAGGGGGCCTGCCGTGATTTTTGAGGTATTCTGAATGTACCCCTCATAAAAGACTTGAGGGTTTAGGGTTGTGGGATCGGAACATGTCTTTATGCATAGAGGGATCCTTAGTGCGATGCGGCTTGATTGAAGGTTTTATTATAGGATCCTTAAGGGAGGGTGGTTCAAGGGGGGAGGGTATAAGGAATCCTTAGGGCACTGTAAGGGAACCTTAGGGAGTACTAGGGAGAATTAGGGATCACTAGGCTATATACCCCCCTTGGACCCCCCTCCCTTAAGGATACTACAATTTTAAGGTCTCATAGCTCATAGCGGTATACTGGCTTGGGGCTTTGGGCTGGTGGTTTTAAGCTACATATGGTTGAGGGCTCAGGGATTAGGTTCCAGAAAAGGCGTTGGGTGGGATTTGTGTAGTGTTGAGGCCCCGGAGTGAAGGAAAGTGCCTCCCAAGCTGAAACCTTGAGGGTGCTGTACTGAGTGCATAGTCCAGGGAAAAACAGCCGTTCATGAACTTATGAGGACTGTAGGACTATTCCAAGATTCCGTTCTTCAAGGTGTCCTGGCCCCTTAAGTGACAGTGAGGGGCGTCCATACTATAGAACCCTCAAAATCCCTAGCGAGCTGCTGTGTCTGAAACCCCATGACTTTAACCTCTTACCCGAAACCTCAAACTCAAAGCCCCAAACCCCTTCTCAAATCCGAAAAGAACCCCTGAAGGAACACTCTAAACCTAGCAAAACCTAAGCTAAAGCCACAAAACCGTGTAAAGCCCGAAAAGAGAGTCCTTGCACACGAACACTCTATAGACTGGAAACCCTAAGCGGCGCAACGGCGCAGGACCAATATCTCCCTCCGTCCTGTGATCTCCAGGCCCGACTCGGCATAGGCCACGTGGGCGTCCACATAGGAGGACATGAACCTCGCGAGACATCGGGGGTTTGGGATTTAGGGTTTAGGGGCTCTTTTTGTAGGGTGACGGGTGTAAGATTTAGGTGCAGCTGCTGTTTCGCGGTGGTTTTTGCCGTGGTTGCTAAGTGCCTTGTTCCAGTTTTTTTCCTTGCGCAATTTGGGTTAGAGCTCAGCGTTTTTGTATAAAACTTGTCGGGCTTGGTAAGTCTAGGGCCAAGACGTTTTCGGCAAGTTTTGGAGTTTAGAGTTCCGCCCGCGGATACGACTTGCAATGACTGCGGTTGCTGTTGCTCTGAAGGCTTGACCTTGCACCTTGAATCCTTTTTTTGCCACTGGATTCAAGTCTCCTTTTTTGCATCCAGCCTGCAACGCCTCTGCTGGGAAGTAAATGAGCGACTAAAGCAAACCTTCAGGTCTGCCGTGCCACTCATCAGGTATGATTTCAAAGGATGCAGCAGTGGACAACTCCAGAAGTCCCTCCGCCACTCTCGAAATGACTGAAAGATTTGAATCAAGATGATGTTGTGTGAGACTTATGTTAATCACAAGGAAGTTGTACTGCATCTGACAATGCTTGACCAAGGTCACCAAATCAGAAGCCTGAAAGTTGTACTCAAGCGAAAGCTGCTGAAGGCCACGTTCTTCAGCAACCCATACAAGCTTCCAAATTCCCTGAGCACAAGTCTCCTTAAAATCCTAAACCTAAAACACCAAGTCCCAAACCCTAAGCCCTCAACTATTTCTCTTGCTGTTGCCATTCCTTGCCGTTGCCAGATCCTGTGTGTCGTCCTAACCCTGCCGCTCCTGCTATCAAACTACTCCTGAACACTGCTGATGCCGCCAGCATACCCGCAGCCAGTAACACAACCACTACTCCGACATGTCACCACGACAGCGGCAGCTTTCGGAAAGTTTGTCAGATTCGCTGCTAGCAAAGGGTTTGATATGGATGCAGGGCGGAACTCTGCTCAAGAGGCTGGTTATTCTCCCTGAACCCTGAACCCGAATTATAATCTTTAAACCCTAAACACTAAGCACCCCTAAACCCCAAACCATACAAGTGTCATAACAACGAGCCCAGATATCATGTGGCAGGCTGCATACATGAATTTAGGGGTTCCCTAAACCCTTTTTTGAGTTTGAGCCAGACCCCTAAACCCAAAACCCTAGGGCTTTAGGGTTACGGTTCAGAATCGCCGGTTGGAGCACTCCGGATTGTACAGTGGCCCTCTGCTGCCGTAACTGAGGCCCAGAACACCCTGCCATAAGTGTAGTGGGATGTCCCGTTGCGCCGCTTGTTTCCCACGATTCGATTCATACAGGGTACAGTGGAACCCGAAGCCCGAAACCATCTACGAGGTCCGACATCCTAAACCCCAAACATCCCCCAACCCCACGCCATTTCAAAAATGGATGCCAAGTCACCCTGCTGCCACAACATCAAAATTCAGATCGACCTCAGGTCATGCTCAAACATTTTTCCCGTTTGCCCGAAACCCTAAGCCTTAACACGGTAATGGGGGAATCCGTTTACTGACCCCTAAACCCTTGTAACCCTCAAGTCGAAGGCCTCCAGACACTAATGCTTGAACCTTAAAGAGCGGGGCGGAGATCCTTTTCTTTTCATTTGTTGAAGCCCCCCATGTTTCGGACTCTCCCTCGGGCCTAAGAGGAGGGAAGGTCGTCCGAAGCAGGGCTTGGAGTTCAGGTTTGAATGCTTGGGGTTTAGAGTTTAGGGTTTAGTGTAATATAGGGGCCTCAATAATTAGGGTATAACAAGGGACCCCCAAACCAGTATTGGTAATTATTCAGGCCCCTATAGTAGTGCACTTTAGGGTTTCGGCTTTGCTATCCTTGTGTCCTTGAGCCGTATTCTTGAACCCCGTCGGAATCAAACAGACTCAACTCTGGCTCCGAGACCACGGGCCACGGACCAAACCCACGGCCCTCGTCGTAAACAACCCAAGGGAATACTATGTTTTCTTTTCTTTCATGGGCTCAGTATGGTTTAGGGATTGCTGTGGATATTCCGAAACCCTTAAAAACCCTCCAAAGGAATACTGTCACGACCAAGCCCTGCTCCCCAACATTGAATCTCTCGCCCTCTCTAAGATATGGAAACTGGTCTTGGAAAGGTGGTATTCGGGTTTCGGTCGGAGGGGCTGGGGAAGCGTTCGACTAAAAAGCCATACAAACAACTTCATGACATTCCTCCTCCAAATTAGTAGCCCATCGATAGTACTCAATAAGTCAGTAGCAACGGTGGAGGTCCTTGTAATGCTACTACAGCCTGGTCGTCCCCATCATGGCCTTTCAACTATGGGCATTGAGGCCACGAAATATGCGCAACAGGCTTTGTTTTCTCGTCAAGCCGGGGAGCGCCTAATGTGTTGTAAAACAATCAATCCTACAGACAAGACAACACCCTACGAATCTCATGAAGTTCTGAGCCCCTATAGGCCCTAAACCAAATAGGCATCTACCAACACCCTCATAACAATAAAAAATTGAAGGCTTCTTGTAGAAACCTCAAGAAAACATGCCAAACCTTGTCATTTGATTAATAAAAATAAAATCCATACCCTGGATACCAGAACAAAACAAATACCAACACCCCACCTCCGCGGCACTCGTCTCTGCAGCCTTTTCGGCCCGTCCTTTGCCTTGCCATCCAGCTTCCATCAAAGGATTCGGCAGCTGCTGCCTGAGAGTTTGCACTTTACGTTTGGGGGCTTGCTGCTGCTAGTGTGAGCTTTGGGGCTTTCGGGTTGTATATGGCGCGTGGGACCTGGGAAAGACGCTAGTCACGGGTTGCTTGGCCGTTGGTTTCCACGCACGTTGGAAAGGCATGCTATCACCCTTTAACACTACCAACGCCCACCAATGACGAGGGTAGCAGAAGTATGAAAAGTGAGGAGCACTAACCATTCCAAACATCATAACCATGTTAGCACCATTGACATGGGCGACTTTTAAATCTCCTCCGGACGCTAGGTCAGCTTGGACGTATCACTCTTTGCACTTCTTGTGTTCACATGATGGCCAGTCGGAGCTCAAACGTCGCGATCTTGTATGACCCTAAACCCTGAACAGGCTGCATGACCGGAAGAACAACCTTGGGAAGTCCGGAGCCGACCAGCTGAGCAAGATGCTGCTTCGATGCTTTTTGCGGTTTTTGAAAACGCTTTGGGGGTTTATCCGGGTTCCCTAGAGCCATAAAGCCCCAAACCCCTTAACTCCAAAGCTCAACTTCCCAGCACCCATAAGCTCAGAAATCCACAAGGTCAAACTACAAAACGGGGCACACTCCTGGAGCGTTCTGCTTTCAGGTGTCACAGGGCGCAAGCACAGGATCTCGGGGCTTTGGTATTTATGGTTTATGCTTCAGGGTTTACAGCTGAGGTTTTCGAAATGATATACATTCAAGTACCAAGAGACCCCTGCATGCTCAATACGGGTGCAGTCGAAGCTACGAGAAGGCGACATAGTTGGCCCTGGTTGATGGCAAGCCTCTCGTGCCATGTGTCACGAAACTGCCCTTCTGATGACGGGCAGGTCGATCCCGCTTTGCTGGTTAAAAACATGTATGATCAGCTGCCATTTGACCTGGGGACCTTGCAATGGCGCATGCAGCCTGGAGCAGATCGGTAGTAGTAGTAGTAGTAGTAGTAGTAGTAGTAGTAGCAGTAGTAGTAGTAGTAGTAGTTGTTGTTGTTGTTGTTGTTGCAGTAGTAGTTTTTGGCTCCCACTTGTCGGACTCTTGCGATCCCGCACGGCAGGCAACACGTCTCTCACGATTACACAGGACTCCAAAACTCCCCGTACAAATGCACAACGACGTGATTTAAGCTTTACAGCAAGCTTGCCAACCAAATGTACAGGGGGTTCTGCAATGCTGTGCTTGTGGGCTAAAGGAACAGCTGCTTCAGCCCGAGTTCAAGGCAGTACTTCAAGGAGACAGACTCTCATCCATCCGCACAGTTCTCGGTTGCTACTATATTCAGCTCTATTATACACAGCGGCAGCAACAATGCAAGAAAACCGGGCATGCCTTGTCACGGGGCTACGGCTACAGCCCCGTGACAAGGCATGCCCGGTTTTCTTGCATTGTTGCTGCCGCTGTGTATAGTAGAGCTGAATATAGTAGCGTAGTAGTAGTAGTAGTAGTAGTAGTAGTAGTAGTAGTAGTAGTAGTAGTAGTAGCAGTAGTAGTAGTAGTAGTCGTCGTAGTAGTCGTAGTAGTAGTAGTAGCAGCAGCAGCAGCAGGAGTAGTAGTAGTAGTAGTAGTAGTAGTAGTAGTAGTAGTAGTAGTAGTAGTAGTAGTAGTAGGGGGACGAGGAGTAGCCGGAGCAGCAGTAAAAGGAGGAGTCGTCCTCGCGTGTTCTTCATGACGACTCTGTCGTGGCCAGAGCTGCTGTTCATATTTCTCACATTTCAACTCGGCCTGCCCATTCGGAGTCCGTCAGCGGCACCAAGCCCAAGGCCTTCGGATCCTTATGGCGCTGCTTGCTTTGAATGAGCTTCGGCGGTAGGCTTCCTCCAGGAACGGCATGCTAAACCCTTGTACGTTCTTTACATTTTGTGAGTGTAGGCTCTCAGAAGTCGGACTGGGTGCATACATTTTGGGCGTGAAACATCACCACAGTGCAACACCCTGGGAGTTTGCTTCTAAGGCTTAGGGGCCTGAAGTCGACACTCCGCTTTCCCTGGCGCACTTTTGGTATGGCACATATGGATGTGCGTCTTATATCGTCTTACGCCGTTGGTGTGGAGCGCATTGAGAGCCTTCTGTTCAAGACAGTGCGTAGACCCCAACGAATTGCTGAGCTAGATCCTATAAAGCTTCAACAGGGCCTGAAGGGTTGACGTCCAAGGTTATACGTAATCTCCAGCCAATGTACATGCATACTTTGCAATGGGATCTAGCTTTGAAGCAGCACAGCTTATGCGGACAGCGCTATTTTTTGAGTCGAGTGCTCACGGATGCTCAGCTCAGCATGGAACCAGCTCTCAGATTTCACGAGAGCAGATGGTAGATAAGCCGCATCAGGTCAACAGCAACCTAGAGACCTGGTTTCGGGCTCTGGAAACTCAATCTGGAGATCTGCGAGGGGCCTCTGAATTTCCAAGTACCAAATCAGTGTCCCTATCCACCCATACAGAAGCTCAACAAACTCGTTTCCCTCAATATCAGTCTCCATAAAGCTCCCAAGTGCCTGGGCGAGTCCCTGACCTCAGAGAGCTGTTAGCCCTTGTACTGCATAGTGCTGAAAATAGGGGCCTTAAATTAACAACTAGAATGGGGTTTGGCTGTATATCAAATATAAATATGGGTGGGGATCCTGTTGCTAATTATTCCCACGACTAATTCGATTAGGGCTAAGGGGGCCTTCATTCTGAAGGCCCCGATATGAGTACGAGCAGGTGAGACAGTCGCTTGCCGAAGCTTGCGATCTACGCATTCCCAATGGACGTTTTAAACCTTAAACCCTAGAAGAGGCTCGCCACTCACTCCTTCTCGGCCAGCTTTTGATCCTCGACCGTAATGGGCGGAAGTGGTGCCACGCAAGACTCACGGCTCTTTCGGCGTGGGAAGATGATGCCCGGCGGAAGGTCGGCTTTGGGCATGTCCATTTGGGAGACTGGAATCACAGGAGGCATAATGCCGCGAGGGAGGTCTGGAGGGGGGGATGTCAACACAGGGCGGGGCTGGCTTGGATCCCCGATGGTTTCAGCAAGGGCTTCCTGCGACGGGCTAGCTTCGATAACTTCGAGGAGGCCCAACTCGAAGGTCGTGTAGACATACTTGCTGATGTTGATGATGCTGAGGAGAAGCGACGCTAGCCTGGAAGCGAAGCTGCTAAGGCTCGTCGCCTGGAAAAGGCAAAGGTATGTAAGGCACATGGACATGGGTGCTTCCACACCCTTCTCGCTCCGCAAAGCTAAAATCAGCTCATTGGTCGGAATGCCCTTCTTCCGGGAGCATGCAAACGCAACAACAACTTCGACGAGCTGCACTTTGCCTCTAAGGCAATCGAAGGCCATGGGTACCGCAATGATCAACGCTTGGGCTACTCCGAATTGCCATTGTTGCGCCAGGAGCAGTTCAACCAATGTGTAATAGTCCGACAAGTAGTCTGCAAGGAAGAGGCCAAATTCACGGTACAGCTCAACTTTTTGCTTCATGCTAGCCTTGAAGGTTCCCTTCGCGATGTCATGTCGGACCTTCTCTGCTTCCTGTTCCAAGCTGCGCAGCATGTCTTCGTCACAAGGAGCGGTCCAAAGATGTCCAACGCTTGGCTTTGGCAACGCCAGGCTTACAACCACTCTTAGGGCTAGCGCCACGACAGGGCACACCAGCAGCAAACTGGCAATCGCAAACCATCCTTCCAGGCGCCCCTCGGGAGCCGGCCAGCCGTCTGACCTGGCAGTGTGGGCTAGTGCGCATCGAGCCAGCACGACTGACAAGGCGTTCGACGATGTCCATGATGCCCACTGCTCCTGGAGTAGGTGCCAATTTGGGTCTTCATTGTGCGCGATTGCTATGAAATCAGTCGCCAATCGGTAATTGAAAGCACCCGTGCTGCAGATGTCTCGCTGCCATTGTGGCAGTGTCGATGAAAGCTGGCAAGCCAAGCAGCGACAACATCGTCCCTGGCAGCCTGTACAGGACAATTGATATCGCCTCACAAGAATTGCCTCGTACCCACCTCCAGCTCTTGTCGTCTTCTCCGTTGGACCGCAATCACCATCGCAAAGGTCTCTGCAGCTTCCTCCCGCTGTTCGCTTAAAACTTTGGATTGTGTCAACCTGACCTTTCATGCCAGTGTTGTCGCTCATGTGCAAACACAGCTCTGCATAGGTTCCATTCCCACAGTCACTTCTTTCAGGCAACAAGTATTCGGGGCAGTACCTCTGGACGTGGTGGGAGAAGAGCGGCCATGCGTTGTTATCCAGCCAAAAGCAGGCAAGGCACGCCACCTGGAGCAAAACTCCACAAAGAACGAACCTCCCGGCGGGTGCCTGGCTTCGGCAGAAGCCCAGCCTTGAATGGGATGCCGGCCAGCACAAAACTAACGGCTCTGTAAGCCTTGACATCTTTTGGCCAAGCTGACGGGCCCTGATGGCAGCATTGGCAAAAAGCAGTCCTAGTGGGACAGCCACAAAGACCGTGTTGGTCAGCACGGCGACCTGGAGGAAAGCAAATATGCTCGCAACTTCGAGCACGACCAGGAGCCTCAAAGCAAACGTTTTGCTAAAGGGGCCTTAATAATTAAACTTGGGTTTGGGGGTGTAATAATAATGAGGAAACCACAGAATAATGTAAGGAAATTATTTAGGCTCCCCATTGCCATGGTGGCTTAAGCCATGTTCTACGGACGCAAACCAAACATTGTATCCTTCACAAGCGACAAGCGAAGGTCGCCTACAAGTTGAGAGCCGTTCATGCATCCCGGTCGCCAAATGCCCCAGGAGAGCATTGAGCTGCCGGCTTCTTGCGCTGCCGTCTGCCGCCAGGCGTAGAGGGCATATTTCGGCAGTGCCATGACACGTCGCGTCTTGAACACTCGCGCAGTGGTGGAGCTGGCTCGACAGCTTAGCTCTGCAATCTGCAGCACAATCCCAATCTCGAGGCAAAACGCCTGCGCAGCCTACAGCCCCGCACCTGCAAGCTGAACTTCAGCCCCAAGTATATTTCAAGCCCTGGAAACATAAACCCTGCTCAACTACTTGAAGGATCAGCGGACTGAGTACGAAGTTTTACCAGAATAAGTAAATATGATTCTGGGGCTACCCTCAGGTGTGCCAAAAAAAAGCCGTATCCTTGAACACACCCTTAATGCAATCCTGGAAGGCAGCCGTACCAGTACCCTGCTTGGTGAGCTCCCTGTTTTGCCGGCCTTGAAGTACCCTAAACCCTAGAACCCTAAATCAACGCTTGAAGGCAAGTACCTTGCTTGGTGAGCTCCCTGTTTTGCCGGCCTTGAAGTACCCTAAACCCTAGAACCCTAACAGCTAGGCTTTAAGTACAGCTTGGCAGCTACTTTGACCACTTCGTCTTCCCCATACCACCGGCCACCACGTTTGGATTCGACCTGGGCGCTGCGCACTTCGGTGCACGTACTTCAGGGCTTCGGGGTTTAGAGCTTCAGAGGCTACTTGCATTACTTTGTGCTTTCCTTCAAGGATTCTGCAAGGGATTTATTGTTCAGGGCAGCGGAGCTTGGACAGAAACGGTTACAGCCGCTTCAGGCTTTAAGACTGTAGGGTCCAGTGGTGTCCAGTGGGTAGGGTTTCGGTTGCAAGAAGTGTTACCCTACACTTCGCAAGTAAGGCTTTCGCCCTAAAGCCGTTGATCTTAAATGTCCAGCAACCCTGTTGCTTTGGCTTCGGGGTCTTTGGTGTAGGTTTTCGTGTGATTTGAAAGCCCAGGGGTCTTAAGATCTCAGCACTGTCTTAGGCGAGACCGTCTTCGATTCTTGTGTTCGTTCGCCGTCGTCGCTGGACGTGGGACTATATGGGGGCTTCCGAAAATAGGGGACCCTAATATGGTCCCCTAAACAGTAGGATCCTGCTTATAACCCCTATATGCATCTCAATATTCAATTGCAAAGTAGGTAGCTTGGCCATGTCGAAGCAACGAGTGTTCGGTAGAGACATCGCAAAAGGGCAGCGCAACAAAGTAGAGGAGTACGAAGTTCAACAGAAGTAAGAAGTGGAAAAAGCAGCTCCTCTCAACAAACGGCGTTTGCCTTTAGGGGCCTTAATAATTAGAATAGGGTTTTGGGGCCCAGTATACGATAAGCATGACAAGGCATCCCCAAAATAGTATAGGTAATGATTTGAGCCCCTGTATTATGGTACCCTTATAGTAACCCTTATCGACCCCTTTAAAGGAACCCAAGGAACCCTTTGATAATGATTCAGGCCCCCACATTTAAGCCCTCTTCGTGAAGTTTGGGGTTTGGGGACCCGACATCTTTTGAAATCTCGAGGATCTCCGGCTTCGGCAGAAAGACACAGAGAGTTCAGTGCAGTTTAGAGTTTAGGGGTTTAGGATTTCGGGTTTAGGGGATTTAGGGTTTCGGGGTTTACGGGATTTAGGGTTTCGGGGTTTCGGGTTTAAGGCTACCACCATGAGGGCAAAACTGATAACACGCTCTCCTGATTGTGGGCAACTCAAATTCTGCAATTCCGCAACCCTCAAGCCAACACCCTTAAACTAGGGTATCTTTGTCCTTAACTCGGGATACCTGCCCTGGCTGCACGGTGCCCGAACGAGAGCAAGACCTAATTCGCGTGCCCTGACATAAGGTTCACGCTAATGATGAAGTATATTGCAGCTGAATTGCCAATAAAATTTAAATTACTGCTGTGCGAATAACATGAACTGTAAGTAGCTAGAACCCCTGTTTTGTCAAACCTTCCAATGAACATTCAAACAATCGACCGCCCGAGCTCCTGGCATGCACCTGGCCACGACTGTGGTTGATGTTGGTGACCTTCCCGGCCTTCCACAAAAACGTCGTTTTAGCGTGTACAGCATTTACGGCTTACAGGTTGCAAATGGGAAAGCCCGTGAAACCGCAGTGCTACAGGAAGGATGTAAGCTTCAAGAACTAAATATGTCTGTTTGCGAGCCGGGTTACGTCGAGTTCAGCGACCACGCAGGGTTTACATGAATGATGCATTTAGGGGATTTGAAAGCTAAACAAACTTACCATTTCACGTAACACATCTTCACACTATCCCAATTGATCCAACGCAACGCATCTTCAGCGTGCCTTTTAAAGGCTGGGTGCTAGAATACGGGGGCTGCAGGCTGCAGCTCTGCGACATTAAGGTCGAGCTGGGTTTAAATAAACTAGACAGAAAGGCTTACACAACAACATAAGCCTGAAACCTCATGTGCTGAAGATCCCCTGAGAGCAAAGAACTACTGCAATCACTCTACCACCCTTTCAACGATAGGCTATGGATGCCCATCGACGTGCTCACAAGGCAATGCACGACGACGATGCTGCCACATCAACAGTAACTCGTGCAGAGGAGAGAACATACACAGCTGAAGACATGGAAGCTTCAGCGATATCAGGGCGGAGTCCGGAACCCTAAACCCTTAACCCAATATCTTAGAAGCTACCCCCCACCCTGTAATAGTGACTATAAGGATTATATTCGGGCCCTATTATATTCCTATTATACCACTACTACAGGTTGGGGGCCCCTTCTAACCGATATCAAACATTGTTCTTGATCCACTGCATGGCAGACGACGACCCGGCGGGCCAAGCGCCATTCGACAGCTTCCAGTCTACCTTTCAGCTGCTGAACTTCCCAATACGCCATGCCCTTGAACTCCCGCGTCAGGGAGAGTTCTCCCCAAATATCTTTCAGCTCGTTCGGTCTTGCTGGAGAGTATATAGCTCCTTCCACAAGTAATCCAGGACCATCTCCATTTCCTTTTGCGGAAGGGAAGAGGGTAGGCGTAGGCCCGTTGCAATTGCCACACTGGGACTTTGCACGAGCTTCTTTTCTTCTTTATTTCAGCTCTTCAATCCAAAAAGCCCTTTCGAAACTGGACTGCGGGATTATGAAGCTTAACCCGTAAACTCCTGAACCCCTTTTTGCATCCAGCCTGCAACGCCTCTGCTGGGAAGTAAATGAGCGACTAAAACTCCTAAACCCCTAAACCCTAAACCCTAAAACCCTAAAACTCTGAAGCCCTAAAGCGGGAGGAAGATCGCCGGCACGGCAAACCGACTCATGTAGTGAACTGCCTCACACATAGGGTCTTGATGATTAGAATAGGGTTCCATTGAAGAGGGTCCAAAAAAGCTGCTAGAATTTAGGGGCCTTAACAATTTTAATGGAGTTTTGGGGCATAGTCGGGTAGAATCATCAGGAAACATCGCGCTAATTATTCGTGTGTCTTTCTTGTATCCTTATGTCCTCCGCCAGTCATTGGTCATTGAATCGCGAAGACGAACCTCAGCCTGAAATCTCCAGATTCTGAGTCCCTCTCTGACAGAATCCAGACCATTAAACCTTAGAAGCTGCCCCCACCCTGTAATAGTGGTATAATAGGAATATAATAGGGCCCTAATATAATCCTACTTAATCCTTATGGTCACTGTTTCAGGGTGGGGGCAGCTTCTAAATTAAACCCCAAAGTAAACGCACCATAACCCTCAACCAGCCCCTGTGAAACCCTTGAATGACCCCTGAAAGGAACCCCCTCGAAAAGGACCCCAGACCCTAAACCCTTCTAAAGCACGCTTGATGGACCCCTTAAACCAAAAGTTGAAAAGGACCCCGGCCAGTCCTGCAGCCCTCAACCCTAAACCTCTAAAGCCTAACCCCCAAAGTGTAAGGCCTTACTAACTCCTAAATCCTAAGCCCATCAAAAAAACCTAAACCCTAAACCCTTAACCCGAAACCTCTAAACCCTAAACCCTTATAGAACCCTTGAAAGAAACCCTTAAAAGGAACCCTGAAAGGAACCCTTAAAAGGAACACCTAAATCCCCTGAGCCCCTAAATTCCGGGCCTCGCCATCTTCCAGGCCAGCAGGGCTTCCAAATAAGCTGCTGCTGAACGCGAAGCCGCCAAACCTCAGTTTAGGGTTCCGTTTAAGGGTTCCTGCAAGGGTTCCTGTTAAGGATTCCTTTAAGGGTTCCTTTTAAGGGTTCTACAAGGGTTTAGGGTTCATAGGTTTAGGGTTTAGGGGTTTCGGGGTTTAATGGTTAATTATGAGAATTTCGGGTTCCATACTATGAGGGGTACTATAGGGGCTTAGTATAGGGGCCTTAATAATTAGAAGAGGTTTTGGGGGCCCATTATACTATAATTATGATAAGGGACCACTCAAACAGTACAGGTAAATATTTTAAGCCCCTATATTATCGTACCCTTATAGACCCCTTGAAAGGGAAGTATTGGTAATTATTCGGGCCCATTTCTTTACAGACATAGGCCCGCCGGTATCGTGTAAGCGCCGGACTCCAAGTCAACTAGGAGAATGTGCCGTTCCTTCATCTAGGAGTTTCCGAAGATAGAAGGCCTGATGTAGTACTTTGTCAAAATAGTAGGATCCTTGTTTTAAAAGGACCCCAAAACAAGGTATCCCTAATTTTCCGGAAACTCCCTAATATCAAGATTTGCTTTCAGTTGAATTGTTCTAGTGGCGTAGACTGGTGCGAGGAAGACTTGTAAGATGCAAGAAATAGTTTAGTAATCCCCACGGCCTTGCATAGGCAAGGTTTTCCAATATAATTAATTCCTGGAGACTGTCTGGGTGAAAGTATGGAAAAAGTATGGCACAGGAATGGAAATATGAAAAGAAATGTGATTCAGAGAAATGATTGTAAAGCAAAATGTGGCAGAGAATGCGAGGTCTGTATACCAATATCAAATAAGATGTGAACCTGTGTTTCTCCATTGTATTCTGTACATAAAGAATGCACGATCTGACGGAGTTTTTGGCATGTGCAGAAGAAAACACTAACACGCAATCCGTGGACATTGTTGTGTTCCGGCGGGGCTATCGGAACTCGACTTCTTTCACCCCACCTAAACTTTGCTGATGTTGCCTTCTTGGATTGCATGAACGACCTAGAAGCGAGTCACCAACGTAGTCTAGATGCTAGATTGTACATGCATCGGTGTAAGCCTCGCCAAGCAAGAAGAACGGCGGCCAGAACAACCCAGCAGCTCAGCGGTGAACGCGTCGGGGCTGCTGTGCGTAGAGAGTCGAGCCCGGCAGGGGAAGGCCCAAAGGCCCAGGCAGCAGGGACAGGGGGGCACCACAAGCTTAAGTCCTGGCGCATTTGCCTCCGGGCGGAGTCACATTTCTCTGCGCGGGGTCCTTCCGGAGCCACGTTTCCCATCAGGTTTTTTTCACATTTCCAGGCAGGCCGGCTCGGACCTGGCCCGGGTCTGGTTTTTTAGGAGAGCCTTAGGAAAAATAAGGAAAAACTAAGGAAAAAAACAGAAAAAAAAGAGAAATAAAATGAGAAAAAAAAGAGAAATAAATGAGAAACAAAAAGAGAGAAAAAACAACAAAAGAGAACAACGAGTGGACAAAAGGCCTCGCCCAGGAGGCCGGGAGGCGAGACAACCTAAGGAAAAACGAGAGAGCCGAAACGCTCCCGGGGCCCTCCCCGGCCGCTCTTCCGCCCCCCCCCCTACCTTCCCCTTTGAGATGTAGCCTGGGCGGGAAGACGCTCGCAGAGGTACAAGCCTACAAACAACGAAAGAGTCTCTTTCTTCTACAGGCTCACAGCTGTAGTCAATACTCTGCCAGAACCTTGATGAGCAGCAAGCATGCATCCGTGCATGTAACGCGTGAAACAGACAGGCCCTTACCCCCCACTTCCTTCCCTCGCCTTAGACTCATTGTAGTTATTGCTTGTAATTAGCAGTCCCAACCCACACTTTCTTTTACATCCCGAAACCCAAGCCAGACTTTGATTCACGTTGTTAAAACCCAACCACACTTTCCTGCATACTTTGTTTCATATCTTCCAAACCAAACCGTATTTGATTTCCTAAAGTTCCTCTGAAAATTAATTAGTCAGGGGGGCAAGGCCCTATGCAAAGGACGGTGGTTACTAAAATAGTTTTGAACGGTGAAGAAGGAACCCTCTATTCGAGGACAGTTTCTGGCCGGAAAGTCTGACAATCAACTTTCACGAGTTTTTGGCTAAAGATCTGACAGCAAGAAGTATTGAATCACCGGGAAATGTCGAACTTTTTACTAAGCCCTTCACTCTAAGCTTGTGTAAACACTAGACTAAACCGACCTAATTCCCGAAATACCGAAATAAACCTTAAAACATATGGAGGTACCCTTGCGTAATGCCACACTCAGGAGGCTTCCACGCAAGACCGTTTGGAGCAAGGCACACAGACGCGGCGTTTCCAAGAGGATCGGCAGCCGCAGTCCTTGAAGCGGGAATGGTGATAACATCTGAAAAACTGAAAGAATTTAGGATATGCAGGTTTTGTGCTTTTAAGTTCAGGGTGTGTGGCCTTAGGGAAAAGGGAAAGAAGTTTGGGGTTGAACGCGTCGCGGTTCAGGGCGCAAGGCTGCACACTTTGAGGCCTCAGGGCTCCAAGGGTTTCATTGTGGATTGGAGCTTCTGGCATAGAAGAGGTAATATAGCGGCCTTAATACTTCGAATAAGGTTTTGGGGCCCATTATACTGTAACTAGAATAAGGAACTGGTAATTATTTAGGCCCCGATGGTAGAGCGCTAAACCCTACAAACCCTGCATACCGGAGGGACCCTTAGAGAAAGCTGCCGATTGGAAATCACGCGAAGCTCTACAAGCCACGAACAAGGACATCGCCATGTGAAGTTCAAAGACGCGGAATCCGCCAATCTAAACTAACCCTAAACCCGAATACCTTTTTTCCTAATCCTAAACTCTAAACTCCAGCTAGGGCTCAGATTTAGGCTTCAATTCCAACGAACTACCCTTAACACAGTGAAGTCCCATGAACAAGAACGGCAGGAGCTCGGAACATCAAGTCTAATCATTACAACCCCGAAACCTGCTAATTTTGCGGACTTACGGCCGAAGAAGTTTGAATCGCCCAGCCCTTGATTGCAAAGCCCTGGAGTACGGCAACACAAGATCAGGAGCGCAGAATGGCAAAGCCGTTTTTTACTTGTACGGCTTGTGATCTCGTGACCTATGTCTCTTAGGGTGTGAGTGTGGGTGTGGGTGTGTGGGTGTGGGTGTGGGTGTGTGGGTGTGTATATGTGTTTGGGTGTGTTTGTGTGTGTGTGTGTGTCTCTCTGTGTGTGTGTGTGTGTGTCTGTCTGTGTGTCTGTGTGTCCGTGTGTGTCTGTCTGTCTGTCTGTCTGTCTGTCTGTCTGTCTGTCTGTCTGTCTGTCTGTCTGTCTGTCTGTCTGTCTGTCTGTCTGTCTGTCTGTCTGTGTCTTGTCCGTGATGTACGCGTTGCTGCGGCCGTGCAAGGTATGCAATCGAATCTGCAAGGTTGAAATACTTTCTGACGGCTCTCTTGCAACCCAGGCCCAAAATAAAAACAACAAATCTCACGGTCCAGCCCCCGAACCTGCACCCCAAGCTTTTGAGTTAAATCCCATGTACCTTTTCCGTCGAAAATCTCACGGCTTGGGGATCTATACAGAGCGTACTCGGCTCGGGGCTTTAGGCTTCGGGGGTTGGGGAGCGTGAAGGTACGGCCCATCCCCGAGCCTCTAATGGTTTAGGGTTTCGGGGTTTCGGGCTGAGAGTTTAGGGTACTCTCGTCCCAAAGATTCCTGAAAGAAAAAACTCATAGCCTACAGTTCGAAGTGTTGGGGCATGCTGAGCCAGTGTTTTAGTTCTGAGGCACATTATAGTATGTTTTTAATATAAGGAACCACCAAAGTAGTAAATGCAATTATGGATGGCCCTATAGAAAGCCCGGTTGCCCAACCTAGACCTCAGGGCATCGAGCTTGTGCAAGCATTGGGAACTGCACTTGAATTCTTGCGGCGCTCACATGCTGCTCTCTTACTAGACCCAAGAGTAGCCTAGGAATAAAAAGGGCGCCCTTTTTAGTTTAAAGGGGCTTATAAGGGAACCTGAACCCCCAAAAAGGGAATAAGGGCCTACTCTAGGTCCTAGCTTAACACGCATACAGTGCACGCAGACAATGCCAAACGAAAGGAAACTGCAATGCTCATTCGTGACCGAGTTGAAAAAGTCATGGCGCAGGACTAAGGTGTAGGAGTTGCAGCTGAGCCGAGGACTGTGCGTAGATGGTTGTTGAAGGTTTCTTGGGGGTTCATGGCACATGTACATGCAACTGAAGAAAAGCCGGACCCAGCAGCCACATGTAAGTCGGCGCGTTACAATCACCTAGCAACAAATGGTTCGCAAGTGCACCTATATACCGTTGATGATTTATAAATCCGGCATTACCTTAAGGACCCTAGACTATGGGAATTGCGGAAAATTCCTGATTATAATTGGTAACTCAGGATTTATATCATCCACCGTAACACCCGGTAAGGTTTGGCCTCATTGTCCTTCATTGTGAACTTGTGAGATCTCTGTCTCAGATCACGACGGGGCATGCGCATGTGCGGCCTTTATCGCGCCATATCGCGCCCGCCTGCGACGCAAATGCCGTTGCCGATGCTGCCCCACGGGACGTGAAACACATGTAATATACGGCTCAAAACAATCAGAAGAGGGTCTTGTGGTACATTTTGGGATTCGCAAGAAAGGAACCGTTGGAAATACTGTTGGTGATTATTGAGGCCGCCTAAACCCTAAACTCTAAGCCCATTCAGGTTTACGGTTGAGACTGGGTTGGGGTTAATATAGGGGACCAAAACTGTTTACCAATACTATTTTGAAGTTTCCTTAATGGACCCCCCAAACCCCTTTCTAATTATCAAGGCCCCTATATTGTTTCTATCGAAGCGGGGTCTTCTGAGTGATTTTGAGGAGTCAGCGTTGTCAACCTGCTGCATGCAGCAGTATAGGGTTCGGGATGAGAGGGTTATAGGATTTGGTGTTCACGGGTTGAAGATGAACTGATCAGGTCAGATCAGATCGAAATCCGCGTTTTCATGGCCAAACCGACATCCTCAACCATCCTCTACCCCAGAACCAAAACACTAACTCCAAACAATACATCCGATACCTTAAAACCCGAATTAACCATTTAGGATGCAAGGGGAAGTGGTGCAGCAACTGCGGGCGTGGGGCTTTCCTGAACCCGAAAAATAGCAACATGTCTCGGCATTTGTTCACATGTCTTTTCCCCAAGCTGTAGATACACCCCACAACCCCTGAACCATGATGTACGGACCTTCATAAATACAATCAAGTTTTCGGGAAATTGCTTAGTGATTCCTATAAAGAAGGACGCCATTACTCATCCTCCTACCCCTCCTAGGATACCCAGTAACCTAAGAATAAAAAGGCTTCTCTTTTTGGTATTGGGTAACTTTATAAGGAACCTAGGACTACAAAAAGGGAATAAGGGTACTACTGGGCATCCTACCCCTATATTTGGTTTAGAGTGTTTGAGTTTAGAGCTTGGCCGAACTTGGAACGAGGATCTTCTTCACTTTCTGAACCATGTCGCCTGCCACAGTGCCGGCGTTGAGGGGTTTGGGCTTGGGTTCTAAGGGCCTTTTGGCAGGTTTTAATGCTTCGGGGCACAGGATCAAGTTTTGCACTTAACCAAAAATCCTGCATTCGATGCTACCTCGCACCTGAAAGTCCTAAACCCGCACACCTGGAACCAGAAGTAGGGTTCAGAAGGGGTACCCTTTGAGGGGTCTCCCTAATAGTACTACCTAACCCTTTTGCAACAGGCTTGCAACGTCACGCCAGGACAGCTGACTCGCGCCGGGATGCACTCGCGACAGCAGGCCTAACCCTTACTTGGAGGGTCGGGGGACTTAGTAAGTAGGTTGTAAGTGGAAGTATAAGTACCTTTAAAGGCACCCTAATTGGGGTTATGGTACTTGTAAGTCCCTAAACTAACCAGTTACTAAGTCCCCCGACCCTCCAAGTAAACCCTAAATTGTGGCCTAGAGGGCAAGCATCGGAACACCCCGCCAGGGATGCCAATGCTCTGGCCGATGAGGATCTTCTTGATGCCTTATGGAATCCTTGAAGTGCTATAGTACCCTGATAGTAATATGGTACCCTGGTACTCAAATGGATCCCTATCCCTGATGTAAGAGCCCAAAATCTGAGGCTTATGGCTGGTAGCGTTGCCCAACACGGGAGTTCGCACGCAGGGTGCGCCAACCATGACTCAACTGGCCGCTGGCAGCATCTTTGGCTAGAGGGCCCTCTTTCGAAAACTGCGCGGCATCACAGCGAGCAGCGTTGCTATCCCCACGCGTTGGATCCCAGAGCAAAAACACTAAACCCAAAAGCCCTAAACCCAAAACCCAAAAACCCTAAACCCAAAAACCCTAACCCAAAAACCCTAAACCCTAAAAGGAGCTCACACATCTGAAGTGCGAAGTTCAGGCGGCTGGCATCCACGGCCGTGTGTCCTAGACCGCGGAGTTGGAAACCCAGTACTGTAGGAGTATGGAGCATAAGGAGTATTCCTCAAACTGCCCAAGCTCTCTCAACACGATAGTGATTTCAAGAGGATGTTCCGTAATTACCAGGCCCCCCCTCCCTCAAACCTGAATTTTCCAGTTCAATTCAAACATAAGACGGAGACCCTGCAGTCTGAAGCGCATGAGGGTATTTCGGGATCTATACCCTGAATCCTCATGGAACCCTTACAGGAAGCCTTGAAAGAACCCAGTAAGAAAAAATGACCCCAAAAACAGCCGTTGAAGGAACCCTGAAAGGCAGCCTAAAAAGAACCTTTCAAGCGAGGCTTAAAAACTTAAAGTCCCTCAGCCCTACACCCTCAAAGGAACCCTTTAACAAGGAAGCCGGCACGGAACCCGAGGGCTGCCCTTGAAAGTTCTTTACTGTAAAGGTTCCGACCCCTGCATTCAGCGGTTAGAAGCTTTTGCGCCCGGTGTTTCGGAACGTCGTGCTCTCGTCTGTCTGGTCTAGGACTTAGCGTCTTCTGTGCTTCCAAGGGTTTAAATCCACCCGACATTGAAACCCCAAACCCCGGAACCCGTAACCCTAAACTCCCCTAAACCCCAAAAAAACTAATAAACCCCTAATTAACCCCTAAACCTCAAAAACCCTAAACCCCACAGTGCATCGCATCGAGGCCTGTCTTGATCTCCGACTCCAGAGACTTGTCCTCCACGAACTCGGCGCCAGCTTGAGAGAACTCTTTCCTCACGCGGCCGTGGGCTAAGGCCAACTGGGGGACCCTAAACCCTAAACCCCCTAAACCCTAAACTGGGGGTTTGTTTAGGGTTTAGGCCTTCGGATCTAAGAGCCAGTGACAGCAAGTGCAAACCTCAAACTTGATACTAGAAAGCATCCACTGTTCTGTCCTTAACTGAGTTGGCCTTAGGATTCCTATTTTCGTGTTGAGAGAGGACTTCGTTTTCGACCCGAGGGAACTAGCTGCATGGGACTTCCAGGAAAACTACTGTAGAGGCCTCAATAATTAGAATAGGGTGTTGGGCCCGAGTATACTATAGTTATAATAAGGAACCCCCAAAAGAGTTTAGGTAGTTATTTAGGCCCCTATATTATAGTACCCTTATAGTAGCGTTTATAGACCCCTTTAAAGGAACCCCAGAAACCCTAGGTAATTATTTAAGCCCCTATAGTATTGCTTTTCGGGTCCCCAAACCCGAAACCCCTCTCCGATAAAGCTTCCAGAGGTCCCCCTCAGGGCTTTGGGGTGTAAAGGTTTAGGGTTAATCAGGACTAGGGCTTATGGGGTTTAAGAGGTTTAGAGTTCAGGGTTTAGCGTGTAAAGGTTTAGGGTTAATCGGGTCTAGGGCTTTCGAGTTTTAAGAGGCTTAGAGTTTAGGGTGTAAAGGTTTAGGCTTGGGTTGAAGAGGTTGAGAGTTTAGGGCTTCGGGTGTGGAGATTTAGGGTTAATCGGGTTTAGGGTTTATATAACAGGTTCAGAGTTTAAGGCTTAGGGTGTAGAGGGTTATGGTTAGTCGGGTTCAGGGTTTATGTTTATGGCATATGGATTTAGGGCTTTTGGGGTTTAGATGTCCCTAGTACAGTACGGCACCTAATATTTAAGGTACCCCAAAAGGGTTCATAATTTTGACAACCACCCATATTAGAAACTCCAGCCCTCTAAAAAAGCTCAAGAACCTTGATCCGGCAAACTTCCTCAAGCGAAGTTATTACCAGGACCCAGGACCCCCCAAGCAACCCTTCCTCCCGCAATAAACCACAGAAACAAAAGGTTACACTATCCATTTCTGACGAAGCTATAAAAACCCCCTAAAAGGTTAAAGGGTTTGGGTTTAGGGTTTAGGGTTTAAAAAAATTGGGTATTGGGAATCTAGGAACTCTTTAACTTGGCCTCAGATCCCTCAGTAGTCGGTGCATACAGTAGGTGCTTGCATTGGAGAGAAGGTGGGGGCTGGAGCTAGGTATGGCACAATGGCTCATAAACCCTAAGCCCTAAACACGGGGATAGGGACACATTGACATGCAAACCCTACACCCTGAGCCTCTTAGACCCCCGCCGAAGTTCCCTGAAGCGGTGTAAAACCGGAAAAATGGCCTCTTACTAAACCCTCAACCCTTAAACACCAAAACCTCTGAACCCAAACCCCTTTCATGAACCCCAAACCTGGACACCGAAGCCTTGGACCAAGCATAAAATCTCCAAACTCAAACCTAAACCCCATAACCTGAAACCCCCCAACCCTAAAACCTAAGCCTGAAACTCTAACCCAGAGGGTCCACATCCACTACAGTACTAATTATTATGGAATTAAGTCCCCCAAAACCATTGTAAGGATGGTCTTTTGGGGCCTAATTCCATAATGGCAGTGTATATTGGACCCTCTGGGTAAAATGTTAAACACGAGGAGGCGCAAGGATCTCGCAATGCGCAAGGCGTCCAGGGCAGGCAGGCCTGTCCGAACATTCAACTTTCAGCACGTTTAGGGTCTAGGGTCAAGGCTTAGGGTTGAGGTTGCAGGGATTAGGACTGATTCGGGATTTAAGACATCGTTCTACAAAGTTGGTGGGTTTTTTTCAGGGTTGGGGGGATCGGCGCTGACGCTGACACCAGGACGATCCAGGCGAGGCATCTAGACATTGACTGAAACCCGACATGTTGACCTGCGACCCATCGAGGCTTTTCGCTATCCTCTTCAAGGAATACCCTAAACCCTAAACTCTCAAACACTAAACCCTCAAACCCTACACCCTGAACTCTCAAACCCTAAACACTAAACTCTCAAACCCTAAACCCCAAACTCTAAACCCTAAGTTCTAAACCTTAAACCCAAAGCCCCAAAGAAACTTGGAACTCAGGGCCCGGTGAAGTTACAACGACGTGGGTTTACGCTTTACACAAAACAGTGGCCTTAAAGATTAGAATAACGTCTTGGGGTTCCTTTAAAGGGTTCCTTTAAGGGATACTGTAAGGGGAGCTATAAGAGTTTGGCATAGGGGCCTTAAAAAATAGAATAGGGTTTTTGGGGCTAGGGTTTTGGGCCCCATTATACTATAATGATGATAAAGAGCCCCCCAAAAATAGTATAAGCCAGGAGATGGACGACTCTAAGCCGAACCGCACCCCAAGCACGAAACCCCAAATCCGAAGCCAAAAATCCGATCCCATTATGAAACCCCTTGTACAGGAACCCTAAAAAACACAATCTGAACTATTCCTATAAAATCAGAGGGAGCCCTGTAAAAAAGCGTTTCGCGGGCTGTCCTACCTCGGGCGATCAGGACGTCCCCGCGGCTTTTCAGGTCCTTCGCCGCTCGCCGCTTGCATTGATTCTGGCTTCCTGGAGCGGTTCAGGGTCGGGGCGAGGTCCCAAGCTGGGATTGCATGTGGTCTAATGCAGGCGGTGATTGAATTATGAGGAGAAGGCCTCTTGGGGGGGTATATTATATAGGTGAAAACTAGTAAGAGCTATGATCGGAAAGCATGGCGAAGTGTCCAACCCTCTAGATTGCCAAGGGAAACTCGATTGGAACGGATGACGAAAAACCCTAAACCCTAAAACCCCAAATCAATAACCCAACCAACTCCCGAAGCTCTGTGGAATTCAGGGCAGACCCCTAAACTCGAAAAAGCAAAGGCTACATCCTTGAAAATACCAAGCCCTGATGCCTTGGTCCAGTACAAGCCTGAATAATCAACAGTACTGTTCCTCAGGGCGCGTTGCTATAACAGCACTATATAGTGTGCCTCAAAGCCCTATTGCAATCATTGAGAACCCTTTTCTAAACCCATATAGAGAGCCTCGTCACTGTAGACCCCTTTATACCGGCAGCCTTACTGAAGGAATCCTATCTGGGAGTTTCCGAAAATAGGGGACCCTAATACAGTACCCTAAATAGTAGGATCCTAATTATAGGGACCCCCCAAATAAGGTGCCCCTAAGTTTCGGAAACTCCCATCTATGTTAGAAGCTCAGAGGCCGAAGCTGTGGCCTGATCGAGTATCTCTTGGCTGACTTCTGAACCCCTCCTAAAAGTTAAACTTTTCGCGTCCTTATTACAGTTCATATAGGAACCCCACAAAGTTAAAGTCTAAAGAGCCAACCAGAAGAACGCCAAGGATTTGTCCCTACGATTGTAGGCTGTGGAGTTTTGGGTTTTGGGTTTACCTGATAGATTTGTCCATAAGATTTCGGGCGTTCTGCCCAGTTTCTAAATCAGAGGCTCTTCCAGAAGCCTTGACTTCTGCTTCAAAATGCAACTACGGCTTTCGGTTTGGGGTTTCGACCCAGGGTCTGCATGGGTCAAGGACTTTCGGTTGCCTGGCTGCTTTAAGACTGATGCTGGGGATTGTGGTGATGGGGGGGTGGAGAGGGTGGGGGGTGGGGGGGGGGGGGGGGGGGGCACAGGGCTCGGGGTTTCAGCGCTCACGGGTAAAGTTCGGGGCTTTTTTGTATGCATCCCGGATTCCTGGCCATCCGATCTCTGCCCAGGACCTGCCAAGCAAAGCTGTGAAGACAGACGAAGCAGGAGATCCCCTAAACCCTAAACCCCCAGAGGCTTCGCTGCCGCTGTTCAGCCTACACCCGAGCCTTGACTTCATGATGGCAATGAAGACCCTGCAAAATTCCGTGCTCGTGCATCTAGCATGCTACCGAGCTGCTGCTGATACTGCATGTGCCAAGGAGCCAACGTCTCCAAAATTCAATAAAACAGCCAACCCAAGAAGAACCCCGTTAAACCCGAAAGCTCATGAAGCTCATAAGCGCAAAGAGGACTCACACCGGTAGCGCTAAAACGGGCTAAAACCAACCGCAAGAAGACCCTGCAACTCAAGCAGCGGCCGACACGCAAGCACTACTCGCACGACTACACACCAGACTCCGGCCTTAGTTGCCGGAGGGCCTTCAGGGTTTATAGTCGTTGCCCCTAGGGCTCATAGGTTTTCTGGGTCTCAAGGCGTTATGTAGGTTCGCAGACCCTAAACCCCAAACCCTAAACCCCAAACCCTAAACCCTAAGCCCTAAGCCCTAGGCCCTAAAGCCCTAAACCCTAAAGCCCTAAACCCTAAAGCCCTAAACCCTAGCTTCAGGGTTCCTGTGAGTCATCTCTTAGGGCAACTTGGATTCCTGGAATACACAGGCCTTGATGATTAGACTAGGGTCTTGGGCTTCCTTTAAAGGGTTTCTCTACAGGATACTCTCAGGGGTACTATAAGGGCCTTAATAATTAGAATAGGGTTTTGGGGCCCATTATAAGGAGCCCCCCCAAAATAGTATTGGTAATTACACTTAGGCCCCTATGTTACAAAGAGTCCGCCCAAACGTGAGCGTTTTTGGTTCTGTAGCGCTCGGCGATCGGGGGTAAAGGTTGAGGGCAGGCGTCTCAATATATACTAAGAAACAGTACCCGCTTAAAACCCTCATATAGGAAGGCCGCAATAGGTCCGAGTGCCCTACTGCAATCATCAAGGCTGCTACATTGCCTCCTACGAAAAACCTTGAACGACTCCCATAAACCCTTCTAACAACCCTCCACCTAAGTCGAGAGAAACCTTGCCCAAAACCCCAAACCTAAAGTCCCTAGAGCCCAAAGCCCAGAGCCTGCCAGCCGTGGCAATGTTGCAGGCGGGACGGATCTTGCCTTGTAGGGTATATGGGAGCTTCCGAAAATGGGGCACCCTAATATAGTACCCTAAATAGTAGGATCCTTTTATAAGGATCCAAATAAGGTACCCCTAATTTTCGGAAAACACCATATAGTTTATAGGGCTCACTTTAAGGTTTTTTCCTTCCTACTTGGCAAGGACGAAGCCCGCCTTGCAGGGTACTTGGTTGAACATCGGATGGCTTGAGCGATTGAAAAAATTGCATCTGGTCAGTATGACCTTCTACGGGCTCTATGTCGTCCCGAGAAGAATCAAGGTTCGAGCACCCCTCACGGGCGCAGAAGGACTGATACTACAGACATGTGTCGAACAGTAGGATTTAGGGTTTACGGTTTAGGGGGTAGGGCGTGAGGGTGACAGGCGCCATAGTGCGCCCAAGGGTTGCGTTTAAGGCTTAGCTTGTTGGATCAGGGTCAGGCTTAGTGTGCAGGGCTTTAATATACGATTTTGGGCTGGGTTCCCTGAACCCTAAGCCCTGTAAGTTAGCCGAGTGAGCCCTTGTTAAGGTCGGACTTTGTGTGTATGCCAATGCCAGGCTGGAAGGGTGTAGGAACAAGCTACCCTAGACCCAAGAGTAACCCAGGAATAAAAAAGGTGCCCTTTTTGGTTTAAAGGGGCTTATAAGGGAACCTGAACCCTTAAAAAGGGAATAAGGGCCTACTCTAGGTCCTAATACCCAACAGAAAGAGGAGCCTTAAGAATGATGCGGCTCAGGGTTCAGGAGTTTACGCTCTCGCAACTCGGTCAAGCTAGACGAGGTCTCGGGGGTTCAGAGTACTTTGACTCGGTCTGCAGAGGTAGCAGGAGTTTAGGGTTTAGGGTCAGAATAATGAATCAGAGCGATTTACTCAACTCACAGTGTGGCACAAGCGGCCACAACCTAGCAGTCCTAGTCTGAACTTGTCTTGCCTTAATGGTTCCCTTGCAGGGGGGGGCGGTTTAGGGTTTAGGGTTTCAGGGGGGGTGCAAGCACTGCCAGAGTGAGCTCAAACGCGTCACGAAGAAAGAGCTGGAATACCCGAGCATCAGGAAACATCGAGAGACACTGCAAACATGTGGTCCAAGCCTCAATACTTTGCTACCGCTCCAATGCAGCTTGCCAAGATGTGAACCATATTGACATCTGCACACCAAACTCTGCTCGGGTCCGCTGATTGCCTGATTGCCCAAAGCCTAAACTTCTCACCCTAAACCCTAAACCCTAAGGCCTGAACAGCCCCAAACCCCAAAAACCCTCAACCCCCAAAACCGATGAACCCTGAGGCTTCGCCTCCTTATCGAGAGAGACATAGAAAGCCTCAAGAGTGAAAGCTTATAGTGTATAGTATAGTATAGTATATAATATACACTATAATATATACTATACTATACAAAAGCTTATAGTGTATAGTATAGTATATATTATACACTATAATTTTCTACTATACTATACACTTGCAGGCCTGAGGGGCCAGGATCCTGCACCGCAAAAGCCTTTCCCCTCTCTCTCTCTCGCGGACTCAGGGGTGTGTCAGCCGCGCGGTTGCCCAGTACTTGACCAAAACCCCTATAAGCCCTACCCTGGATCCTTAAAAGATCTACTACACCTCATCGGACCTTTGTAGAATTGATGCATAGAACTCCACCGTCATAGGAAATTCTCTGGTGCATTGGGCTGTCCGGGTAGTCGCCAGCCATCAAAAGAGCCAAGCTGCTGCCCCAGTAGTGGTCTAGAACTCTTTGGAAGTCATCCGCGTCCTTCAAGCACTTGAGTTTAGGGTCTACTTACCTTTGGTTAGTAGGGAATGGAGGAATGGGGTACAATTATATCTAGTTTTACTACCATTCTTCCATTCCCTATACTACCCAAAGGTAAGTTTAAGGCACAAAGGGTTCAGGTCTCAAATCCTTCAGCTTGTGGGTTGAGCATACACCCTCTAAACAGGGCTTGCCTGGACCCTCAAAGTATGTAGAATGATGGCCTTTCATAGGTCTTGGGCCATTCTTTTTCCTGTTTTGGGGGTTTAGGTAAGACTTAAGAGAGAAGTGATGTCTCAGGGGCTCTGAGGCCCTGCGGGACTGCACAACTCTGGGTGTCTGTTGGAGCAGGTGATGCCTGAGCAAGCTGAAGCGGATTCAGATTTTCAGCAGCGAGAAAGCCTCAAGAATCCAAACGAGTGCACTGAAACCCTGGGATTTGGGGATCGGATCATTCGGCTGTTGCGGCAAGCGGGGCTGCTAGCCGCTTCGACATAGGAACTGCATTGGGTACACCTCGTTTGGAACATAAGAACCCTTCGGATCATGGCTGGCACAGATTCAGGCTAAGTGCCTTGTTGGCCTGCATCGCGACTCAGTGTCGTTTGGACGAAACGCTTTGGCACTTGTTGAGTAAGCTGTGTTCTGCGTTACGGACCTACATTTCTAACCCTCAGGTTGTGCTGACTGAATGACAGACAGGGTCTCTCGCTTTCGAGCATGAAGTCTAGCCTAAAGCCTAAAACTCCAAACTCTCAACTATCGAACCCCCCAGCACCAAATTTTGACCTTCCAAGCACTCTAGCTTCAATCGCTCAACAAGTTTCCAGGGTTTGTAGAGAAATATGCCCTAAACCCCGGGCCCAGTGATTCGGCCTGCACCCGGGGTTCTTATGATGGTTTGCCGAATATCCGCATATTCATGAGGCTGTATACTATACCTCCCTGTCTGTTGAGGCCACTCCTAACACCCAGAAAACCCACCTTTACTGGAGCGCGAGTTTAGTAAACAGATAGTCGGCCCCTCAGAGGACCTGCGGAACTACGCCGTCGCAGTAGTTCTCCTCGGAAAGGCAGGTTTTGGGGCTTTCTTAGCAGCAAGTTTTTTTTATCGAACCAGCATCCTTGCATTTTATAAATGCAATGGGCCCTTTCTCCTGCGTCCTTACATGTGGGGTTTTAGGGTTTAGTATACTACTGCAGTGTAGGGATCGATGGGAATTGCTGTTGTTCCATGTTGTCCCAAAACCTCCATATGTGTTTTGGGATTTTGGGCTACTTCAAGCTACTCGAATGTAGCTCGCTTCTTTTTAGGATCCTAATTTTTCGGATCCCAATAGGTTGGCACTTTTCAGACAAGTTGAAGTTCCTTGCAAAAAGGTAAGTTAGGGTAGGTGAAGCTACAGCTTAGGATGTTTGTTTTTAGGGCATGGGCCGTGGCAACTCGGCGAATGATGGTGAGGCTGCTGGTGTAGCTTGATGGGTTGGGCTTTTCTCGAAAAGCCAGTTTTTGACACTTACAATCGGACAAGCTGACAAACCAAGCCATCTCGGGTTCTGGGTTTGGGGCTTAAGATCAATGCCGCATTCGGAACGAGCCAATCTATCACCGGAAGACATCCAGCCCTCAACCCGCAACCTGTATTCCCAAATTGCGTCCCCTGAACCTCCAAAACCGAAAAAACAAATCCAATAAACCGTGAATCCTAGAGTCCTAGAACCGTTATAAAAACCAAACAGTCGATAATACAAAAACATACAAAAACACTCCCACTAAGCCCCAAACTCTAGAACATTAAGCACTAAACCCCGATCAGGACCCAGTGTCCACGTATTCGCGAACTTCCTGCGCCATCTTCAGACGCACACCAAAGCCTGGGAAGGCTTTCGTGGGAGGTTTCTTACTGCAATATATACCTATTGTCTATGAAGGAACCCTAAGAAACAAACTAACGTTGGTACAATGCATTAGGCTTGTCTAGGGGTATACGCTTTTGACACTCGCACTCGGATGCTCCTGGCGAGGCTTGGCACGACGGACAGATAAGCTGACGTCGGTTCTGGGTTTAGAGTTTCGGACGAAAGAGGAAATGCCAACAACAAACGTGGACCTACGAGGCACTGCCTCAAATGCCAGTAGCTACCTGGCCAAACATCCTTAAAGCTTGAGGGCTCACGGTACCGGGTGAAGTTTCGGATTTTAGGCTTGGGAACATGACACAGGGCCCAGGCTGCTGTGTGGGTGGTTTAGGGTTTAGGATTTAGGGACTGTTTAGGGTTGACATGGGGATCGAGTCTGCCAAAGCACTGCAACACCTCCTACCCAGAGACTCCAGTAACCCCCCCGATTGGGGGATTTTCTTTCCTAAACCTGCACAACATACCCAATCTAAAACCCCAAACCCTAAGGCCCTAAAGCCTACGTTCCCCATGTAGACGCTTGATTCCACAGGCAACCGCTCGAGACTTTGGGCCAGCAACCGGTACCACTGGAATCGCAAACAGCAGCTGCACACTGGCTGAATCATTAGGTCTACAAGCATGTCCGAGGATGCGAATTGACGCGTTTTAGCAGAATCCCCAACTGCACACTCGATCGATGCGACCACACACAATCGAATGCGACTTAACCCATGGACCCAGTATGTGCGTCACTGATACAGATCTTTTAGCACCCTCAGAGTACTGCAAGGTTGTCTTTGTATGACATGAGGAACATTCCTTCATCAGAAAGGTGGGCTCCCTTGGGCGGAGCTCAACTTAAAGGATGCATCGACTTGGTACGTAGCATCATAAGTACCATAATTCGGGTTATAAGTGGATATGTCATTCCACCCTTCTTACTGATCTTACTGAGACTCCTGACATGTCAAACATACCCTGAAATAGAAACTGTAAAACCCTCCCCTAAAGAAACCCTTCCAAAGGGAATCCGAAACCTGTCACGAGCTTCCTCCACTCCGGCCGAGTCCTTGAAACTAGTATTATACCCTAGAACTGAAAAAGGGATTATTAGGCTTATCTAGGATAAGGAGTTCTGTAATCTTCTTCGGGGGTTCTAGATCTATAGGAGAGTTCCCGGGGTTTCCAACGGTCCAGATTACCTACTAATCAGGTGCCTGCTTAGGAGAGTAGGGCTATGTATATATACATATATATATATATATATACATATGTAATATTATATATATATATATATATATATATGTGGGATAGCACATGGCTGTCGGGTACTTGATCCCTAAGGGTCAGTTCCCATGATAATGAAGCAAACGCTAAGCCAGCCCTGTAAGGCTTCTGCTTCGGTCAGAGCCTTTGTGCCTTGAGCACCTGATTTGAATTCCTACTTCCGTCTGATTAGAGTACGGTTTAATTACGGTTTTAGAGTGTAGGGTTTGCGGGGTTTAGGGTCTAAGCTTTCGGGACCCACATGCACATGCAATGCTGCACGTAGACATCCGTCCAGGAGCGAGTGTTCTGACCGTCGGCTTTCTTGCGCGAAGCCGCCCCTGCGAGAGACGGGGTCTGCGAGGCTTCTTTAGGGTATATGGTTGGGAGTCTCAGTTCTCAATGCCTCCACCTAGCTACACCGCAGGGTAGTTCTAAAAGGCGGTTGACTATGCTTCAGTTCGCACAAAGCCTTAGTTTCAGGTTTGACATGGCTGAATTAGATGAGGCTTTCGAGACTTCCGCGTGGAAGTCTCTGTTGCTTTCCCATAATTGGCCATGGTATGGAAGCTTAAGATGCAGGGTACAGGGTACTAATAAGGCGTTTCTTTAAAAAGGGTTCCTTAAAGTGTTATACAGGTGCATAAACAGGGGCCTTAATATTTCTGATAGGGTTTGGGGCATGCGGATATAAAATCTATGAGCAACCCTAAGAAACAACTTTGATAATCGTTTGGGCCCCTATCATAACTTCAAACGTGGCGAGGGCTTGGTGGGGCTTGGGGAGGCATTCGTGATTTCCTAAGGGCCTGAGAAAGTATTTCGTGGAGAGGATTGTTGTAGAGTGCAAAATCGAATGCCTTTTTCCTCCTAGTATGTCCACAAGTTGATGTGCAAACGAATGGAAGCCGAGCTAGCCCGAACTGTAAACCAAAACCCACCCCCTTCAACCCCCATGCATGTAAACTCCACGGATGGTTTAGGATTTCTTAACCCCAAACAACCTCCTTTTATGGACTTAAATGAGGAAATCATAATAAGGAGCCCTAAAAATGTAGGATTCCTAGGCTCCAGTTTAGGGTTTGGTGTTTTGGCTCTCGCCTCGAGACGGCGAAAGCAGCAGCCGCCCAGATGGCTCCATGGTCAAAAGCACTTCGGCCTGACATGGGGTTTAGGGTTTAGGGTTCAGGGTTAAGGGGTTTAGGGTTCAGGGTTAAGGGGTTTAGGGTTCAGGGTTAAGGGGTTTAGGGTTCAGGGTTAAGGGGTTTAGGGTTCAGGGGTTCAGGGGCTTAGGGGTTTAGGGTTCAGGGTTTAGGGGTTTAGGGTTTAGGGGTTTAGGGGCTTAGGGGTTTAGGGTTTAGGGGTTTAGGGTATAGGGGTTTAGGGTTTAGGGGTTTAGGGTTTAACTACTTGGGGCGCTCATAGCTAGAATAGGGTTTAGGGTTGAGGGTTAAGGGTTTAGGGAAAAGTTTGGGGTTACGCTCTCACAACTCGGACTCAGCCAGGCGAGGTTCTTGGGTGCTTAGTCGGCGTGACGCATTCAAGACCGGATCCTCACAGAAAGTTTGGCGCTAAGGGTCAAGGGGTTTAGGCTTCGGGCTTAAAGTCGGCTTGAGGTTTACTTTCATGCACAGCATCCGGTGACTTACAACTCAAGCACGTAGTAAGTGCTTTGGGCTTCGGATTTACATGCATCGTGAATTCATTGTTCGCTCAGGGTCGAGCGGCCAGTCCGACTCCAACAGTGCCCCCCCACTCCCAGGCTCTGGCTGGGAGACCATCAGCTGGTCACACTCCTCCTCCCCAACCCTTTTTTTGACCCTACCCCCCCAGCGCTAGAAAAGGCACCTCTGCCAGCTGTCCCTGTGAGTTCTCCGGGCTGGGCGCCTGGTCCTCCCTTGCCGGCTTTGTGAGTAGAGCTCAGAGCTTGCACAGAATAGCAGCCCAAGAAGCACCATTCTGAGGGAATTAGCGGTTTAGGCCTGGAGAGCTTTACTAGATTCTGTAAACCCGTGGGCAACTCCACAGTCCTGGATGCATCTGGGAGAAGCTTGCGCCTGAATGGCGCCACTTCCCAAAAGGCCACATTCGGGCGATCTGGAACGAAGATTGACGCCTTTGGGCATTCACCTCGGCCCTTCTGATAAAATGTGCGAGGGGCCATGGCATGAAGTTGTTAATCAGTTCCTCATGCTTTCTGTCTGCTGTCGCAGCGGGTCAGTCATCAACAGTTCTTGCAAGGGTTGCTGGTGACATTGCTCGCTTTCGCAACTCAGCCACATGTCATGTGGTCCATTGAATGCGACGACTTACCCTAAACTAGCAATGTTGCCCTGCAGTGAAACTTCTCGGCCCGATTTGGGAATACAGATCAGACGCCGGGAGCAAGCACTGTGTTCACGTGACGCCAGCCTAGGATCTTACATCGTGTGAGCACCACTTTCAAGATCACCTGAGCATTCCTTGGATTTAGGGGTTTTGAATATTCTTCTTGCTCGTTTAAGGAATCCTTTAAGAATTCCTTGAAGGGGTCCTTTACGGGTTAGAACAGCAGCCCAAAGAAGCAGCCGTATTCAGGGCCGAGCCTTTCAGCTTAAGAGGGGCTTTGGGCGTTTAGGGTTCAAACCTATAGGGTTATGTTCTGCTAGCTTTGATGTATCATGTTTGATGGGCCTGCGGTGGCACCTAATTGAAAGAGAAAGCCGCCCATATGACCCTCAAGAAAACATTTGGGGTTCCCTTGGCACCGTTAGGGCGAAAAAGGCTCAGACAGGGATACCATACAAGCCTTAAACCTAGAGATCTTGAACCGCTTCGGCGCTTGCAGATAAAAGGTTTAGGGTTTTCAGGTTCAAGAACTCTCAAAAGGCTTGTTGGTCCCTAACCCCTAACCCCCGCAAATCCTAAACCCCAAAACTCTTAAACCCGAACCTCAAACTGGAAGTCTTCGGAACTGATGTGTAAGCCCTCAAAGCTGGCGCCTGAGATCTTCTGGAAGGTGACCCGGTCTAGGGTTTGAGGTTTAGGGTTTAGGGGCTCAGGGGTTTAGGGGTTTGGGGTTAAGGGGTTTAGGGTTTGAGGTTTCAAGTTGTCATCAGGTACGATAGGGACCCAAATAAAACCCAGGTATCCGTACACACACACACACCATTCCTAGGGATCCAAAGGAGCAATGTAGACACTCACCGAAGCCCGATATCCTTCAGGTACCCCATATAGGGTTTGGGTTTAGGGATCCCCATGAAAAGCCGCTGGCAGGTGCCTTCTTTTCGCACCTTGATGCGTAGGGGCTTCGGTGTAAGTTTGAATTTTGCAGATCCCGACTACATGGGTACAGGACGTTCATCCACAAAGGCCTGTGGGGTTTGTTGTGCTACTGATTAGGAAACCCTGGGCCCACAACCCCCAAAATAGTAGGGTCCATATATAGAACCCTATTAGAGACTCAGAGTTTCTTAATCAGGCTCCTATACTGAACCCTAAACCCTAAACCCTAAACTCAGCTTGTGGCTGGGCTTTGAGTTTCGTCGGCCGAAACTTCACCAGCGTTGGAAACCCCAGAGACTCCAATATCCCTTAATGAAGGAATATACCTTCAATTATAGTAGGATCCCTAATATGATTTAAGGAATATTCCTTAATTAAGGGATATTGGAGTCTCTGGGACCCCTCAGCCCTCGGCCCTTCTTGTTGTTGTCAGCATAGGGTTTAGGGTTGAGGGTGAGGGATGTTTAAGGTTTAGGGCGTTTAGGGTTTAGGGGGTTTAGGGTGTAGGGTTTCGGCTCTGACACTCGGACAATCCAGGCGAGGCATGTGGTTCAGCATAGGGTTCAGGGTTTAGGGCTTGGATTGTGTGCCAGCGAACGCTCCTCAACAGCAGAAGGGCTTCCCCTACACCTAAACCAAGAGGCTCTTGGCGTTTTAGGTTGGCGTCAAGGGTACTATCAAAAGGGTTCCTTTGAAGGGCGCTATACGGGTTCTTTTAAGTGGCACTATAAGAGTTTCTAAAAAACGGGACCACAAGGCCTCGGGGGTTTTTGTGTAAAGCGAAGCGAAAACGCGTAATGCAGGGGCCTTAATAGAATAGGGCTGCGGGGGTATATGATACTACAAGCACAAGGAGGGCCCCCCCAAAATAGTATTGGTTAATTCTTTCAGGCCCCTATATTACCTTAAGGATCGAATGAACCATAGGTGGAACTGTATACTGTGATTTCCTGTATGGTCGTTGAATATTGCGTTCTTTCAGGGTACATGTCGCGCTTCAGCTGAACCTCGCTATTCCAAAAACATCCAAAAACCTTGACTGAAGCCGAAACTTTAAGCCTCTGCCCCACCTTACAAAATGGAAGCTTGCGCGAAAACCTCATGTCTCTCGAAATGTGCCGTGGCAGGGCACTCGCGGCCCGAGAACTTGAGATGCCACTCGCCATTCACCTTGTTTAATGTGAGGGCCTTATTGATTATAACAGCGTTTGGGTGGTATACTATATACCCAAAATGAAACCCGACAAGGAATGATATTAGCAGTTACTTAGATGGTCTGTGGGCTCTGGGTCTATGACAGGACCCTTAAGAAGTTGTTGGTCAGTCCCTCAAGCTCCCGCTTACTCTGCCAGGGTAGTCATGGCCGTTTCAACAATACAATTTCGCAGTACCGCGCCGAACCGTTACCGCACCGCACCGATAATAAACAGCCATGGTAGTATAGGCATTGGCCGCAGGCCCCTGTTGCCATTGTTCACGTATCTGCGCGTTGACGGGCAAAGTATAAACCCCCATACTAAGACCTACAACCGACCCCTACCCCCATGTTAAACCCAATAAAAGACTCTGCTAAAACCCTGAAGGAATCCTCAAAGCAGGCTTTTAAAGATAACCTTGAAGGATTCCAGCACCCTTGGAGCAAATGCTTTGCAAGTCCCGGGACCCCGACCGGTGACCGCCCGAACCCTTATGTAATTCCGATGGTAGCAAGCCTAACATAGAACACATCACAAGAATGCTAGATCACAAATCAGAGCCATGACAATGACAGCAACAATGATGATTATACTCGCATGGACGAAGGCGACGACCCCCACGACTAGCAGCACCAGCAACCAGCACCAGCACCAGGAGCACCAGCAACAGCAGCACCAGCACCAGCACCAGCAGCACCAGCACCAGCACCAGCACGACGACGACGACGAATGACGACGAATGGCGATGATGATGATACTGGTAATAAGAATAGCAATATCAACGACAGTAACAAAGATGATAATTAGCAAGAGCAGCCCCTATTCTAGAAACCTTACAACCTACGATGTAGGTACTCAGGAGTCGTTGGGTGGACAGGCAGGCCACCATCTGGCGCAGCCGAGCCGAGGCGTCCGTGTCCTTCTTCTGCAGGGAAGGCTCGTGGTAGCCCTCCGGCGCCAAGACACCTCAATGGTTTAGGGTTGGGTGTTGGGTGTAGTGTTTCATGTTTGGGGGATTGGGTTTATTTCAATGAGAGACTTTCGGATACCATTGGCGGTATATGCCGGGCCGCAAAACTCGGAACTTGTCCAGTTTGCAGCATATGTTTCTACCTGTACCCGATCCGTGACCTTGGTAGAATTTGACAGAATCGTTCCAGAGTCCGCTTATGAGCATGCTTTGGAGAGCAGCACAGCTTCTACATGTGGGGGTTTCTGAAAAAAGGGGACCCTTAAGATAGTTTCCCAAATGGTAGGATCCTTATATAAGAACTCCCAAATAAGGTACCCCTAATCTTCGGAAACTTCCATGTACTGCGGTCGTGCGAGTTCGGTGCCCAGCTGAAGAGTTGCACATTCCCAGATGCGCCTGTCCAGCTACCGAACTCAAATGTCACGATGCCGGCAAATAGTCGCAGCGGCTGATACCGGCATCTAGCCTAGACATCAGAGACCGGTGTAGTTAAAAGATCCTGCATACCACCACATGCAGAATCAAAAGAAGAAGGGACCCCAATTAAGAACTCTACAGCAAGCTTCCCCTCAATATAGACCTGTCAGATCGCAGCTAAAAGTACCAAAGAAGCCTCCGAAGAACCCCAATTCCCAAACTTTAAAGTTGGCCCCAAAGCCACCGGAACCCTAAACCCTAAACCTCAGACCTTTTTCCGCAAACCCT